GCTGGTGCTGTTCCTTCTGGTACTGGTGGCGCTGCGCGGCCACGGCCGTACTTCGTTCCGCTCCTTGAGCAGGTTCTTGGTCTTCCGTCCTCTCTTGGTCCTGCTCCTGCCTTAGAGTGTCCGCCTCCTGTCCAGTCTGAGTCACAGTTACAGCCAGCCTCCCCGCTTCCTTCTCCTTCTCCCTACACTGGTCCTACTGGAGGTCTCGCTGAGCGTCGTGTGCCTGCGTCTCGCCCTGCGTCGCCTGTCCGTGCTGCTCGCCTTGGTGGTCGTGGTTCGCGTCAGCGTCCTCCCCCTGTCCCCGGCACGCACCGGATGTCTCTGCGTCCTTCCACTGCTCCGCTGCGTGCCCCTTTGCCTTCTCCTCCCGCGTCCTCTCTTCCTGCGCTTCCTGACCCGGAGTCGGACTCCCTTCGTGCTGCGCGTCCTACTGTCACGCGTCTCCTTGCTACTGTCGTCACTGACCCTTCCTTTGAGTCTACAATTGCGTCTGCCCTAGTTGCTGAGCTTGTCGACTTCGCTGCTCGCTGTCGCCTAGACTACGCTGCCAGTCTTGTCGCTGAAACTGAGTCTGTCTGTCCTCCGTCCGTCGAGGGTGAGTGTGCTCTTGGCACGGACGTCCTTGAGGACAGGCAGGAGGAGTTCCAGTGCTTGGCTGCTGCTTCACCTCATCTCGTGTCCATGCTGCTTGCCTCTGAGGGAGACCCGGATGCACTTGACATCCCGACTCCGCGCTCTTACGCGGAGGCGATAGAGGGTCCCTACTCCTCTCAGTGGCAGGCAGCCATGGACGCAGAGATGGCTTCCTGGAAGTCCACAGGCACCTACGTTGACGAGGTTCCCCCGCCTGGGGCGAACATCGTCAGTGGCATGTGGATTTTCAGGGTGAAGCGGCCGCCGGGTTCTCCGCCTGTCTTCAAGGCGCGTTACGTGGCTCGTGGCTTCAGTCAGCGGCAGGGAGTTGACTACTTTCAGACCTTCTCTCCCACCCCGAAGATGACCACTCTTCGGGTACTGCTGCACATAGCCGCTCACCGAGACTACGAGCTGCACTCTCTTGACTTCAGCACTGCTTTCTTGCAGGGCAGCCTGCACGAGGAGATCTGGCTGCGCCGCCCACCTGGCTTCACTGGGACTTTTCCTCCTGGCACCCAGTGGAGCCTCCGGCGGCCAGTCTACGGTCTCCGCCAGGCACCTCGTGAGTGGCACGACACACTGAGGACTACACTTGCGGCTCTTGGGTTTGCTCCTTCTACTGCCGACCCGTCGCTGTTTCTGCGCACCGACACTTCTCTGCCGCCGTTTTACATCCTCGTGTACGTCGACGACTTGGTCTTTGCTACAGCTGACACTGCTGGACTCGCCTACGTGAAGTCCGAGCTGCAGAAGAGACACACGTGCACAGACCTGGGTGAACTGCGCAGCTACCTTGGCTTGCAGATCACCCGGGACAGAGCACAGCGCACCATTACCCTGACTCAGTCACACATGGTGCAGCAGGTCCTTCAGCGCTTCGGCTTCACGTACTCCTCGCCTCAGGCCACTCCTCTGGCTACACGCCACTCGCTCTCAGCTCTGCCTTCGGATGAGTCCGTAGAGTCGAGTGGCCCGTACCCAGAGCTTGTTGGCTGCCTCATGTACCTGATGACCTGCACTCGACCTGACCTTGCATACCCTCTTAGCATTCTGGCACGCTATGTTGCTCCTGGGAGACACAGACCAGAGCACATGGCTGCAGCGAAGAGGGTGTTGCGCTACTTGTGCAGTACGTCGGGCATGGGGCTTGTGCTTGGAGGGCAGAGTTCAGTGGTCCTCACTGGTCACGCAGATGCTTCTTGGGTTGACGACCTAGCTACGCAGCGGTCGTCACAGGGTTACACCTTCAGCCTTGGTTCCGGCTCTGTTTCGTGGCGGTCTACCCGCTCGTCTTCTGTTCTCGGCTCCAGTTGTGAGGCTGAGATCTACGCAGGGGCCATGGCTGCACAGGAGCTACGCTGGCTCACCTACCTGCTGACTGACCTGGGAGAGCCGCCTCGTTCTCCTCCAGTGCTGTACGTAGACAACAAGGCCATGCTGGCCTTGTGTCGGGAGCACAGACTGGAGCACAGAACGAAGCACATCGCTCTTCGCTACTTCCTTGCTCGTGAGCTGCAGCAGCGTGGTCAGCTGCACCTTGCTTACGTGGCCTCTCAGGCCAACACTGCTGATATCTTCACTAAGGCACTCGCGCCTTGTGATCATCAGCGCTTCTGTACTCTGTTAGGTCTTGTGCCTACCTTGCCTCACTTGCTCACTTCTTGACCTTGCTTGTACTGTTACATATATATATATACCTGCTCTTGCTTGTTTAGCGTTATATATATGTAATCTTGCATGTGAACTGGCCTTGTGGCCTTGAACTTGTGCTCAGAATGTGTGGTGACATTGAGATCCACCCTGAGCTTGCTTTGCTTTGCTTGACTGGTCTTGTGACCCCTTGTTCTCCCCCACTTTGCCTATGGGGGTGTGTCAAACATTATATATGTTGTAGCTTTGTAGGCTACAGTGGGTTTAGCCTTAGGGGGTACACAATTCTAGGGTTGCATATTTGTACTCCCATTCTTGCTAGTCACATCATTCCTCGTTTCTTAACACAGCGGACAGCCCCAGTGTTTACTCTAAACCGGGAAGGGGCTGCGTGTGGATGACGAAGTGGTGGAGGTGAATGACAACTCTTGAAAATGTGTGTTCTGTTTCCGTCGTCTGGGTTTGTCGCAGGGAGTGTCAAACCTGACGAACATGTTTGCCAAGGTTTGGGTGTGTCAACCTTGGCTTGGTGTTGAGGGTATAGTGTTCAGGTTTCGCCCAAATCCCCCCCCCCCCTCTCTCGTGCAAAATTTCGCTGCTCGTGCACCAATTCCAGGTGCCACCTACCAACCAAGTGGAATACGGTAGAAATTATGAGACGCGGGTTTCAACCTTAACTCCCTCCTCCATGCAGAGCACTGACACGAGAGAATTTCTCCAACCCGTGTTTGGTGATTTGCCGTTGCACACGTGGCCTCGAATCGCTAGCGTGGTCATACAATTCTATGATAATTGCTCGAGTAGTCTTGCCAGAGGTTTCCTGCAGAATTTTTTTCACCCGTCGCATTACCCTGAAATGATTTTTAGCCCCGAAAGTCTTACATTGAACGTGTCTCTTCCCGCGATGTCGTAACGTACTATTTTCCGCCCGAAAATTTAGCTCGGGTGACGTGCACGAGGGCGGCCATGTCACCGTTCGAATATACGACAAAAAACAGCACGATCATATTGGCGAACCATCGCGCTCATTTTCAGTCCAAACCGTGACCAGTCCGCGCATAGTCGATTATTTCCCGATCATATAGTCTATTGCACGGCTTTCCATACGCGCGCGACATTACTTGACCGTTCGTGATTGGTCCGGTTTATGCTCTGAGCATTTTGTGAACTTGCACGTCCAATCAGACGCGGTCATGTAAGATCGCGCTCATATGAAACCGCACATTTACCTATATGAGCGCGCATATGTGATGATCATATGTGTGTGTGATCTCGGGTGCATATAAAACTAGATTAATAATATCGACCGGCAATATTACTACCGGCGTTTTGCCTTTATAACTTATAACACCGTGAGTTCCGTTCATGTAGCAGTCATAGGGTTTATTGTATCTCTAGGCATGTCAATCTCTACGCATACAATGATATAACGTAGATTTGATGTGTACGGATCATGCAATGTGATGTTGACAATAAGTGTCATCATTTACTGTGCAGCTTCTTCAGCTTCGAATACTGCCCAATTTTCAATAGTGCAATCACATATGAGCGTGTCACTAAATGGGCACGTTTGATTGGACGCGTAAAAAGTGTCACGCGCATAAAGTTGATTAATCAGGCACACTCTGTAAGTGGTCGCGCGTATGGACAGCCGTGCAATTGAGTATATGATCGGGGAATAATGGAATATGCGCAATTTGGTCACAGTTTGGACCAAAAATGAGCGCGACGGTTCGCCAATATGATCGTGATGCTTTTTTTCGTATATTCGAATGGTGACGTGGCCGCTCTCGCGCACGTCACCCGAGCTAAATTTTCGGGCGGAAAATAGTACGGCTCATCTTCGCGGGAAGAGAAACGTTCAATGTAAGACTTTCGGGGCTAAAATCCCTTTCAGGGTAATGCGACGGGTGAAAAAAATGCTGCAGGAAACCTCTGGCAAGACCACTAGAGCAATTATCATAGAATTGTATGACCACGCTAGCGATTCGAGGCCACGTGTGCAACGGCAAATCACCAAACACGGGTCTGGAGAAATTCTCCCGCACTGACACACTCAAGTTCGCGCTCGCGACTGTTTCAAGTTCGCAACAGCTGTGATCTCCTGCCTGCCTGCACCATTCTGTCCCCCCTCGTAGGCCACCGCTGTTCCGCTCAACGACAATAATCACCGCGCAGCCACGGTTTTCTCGCTCCCCTCCCCCCGCGCCTGTCAGCGCGCGACTACCATTCCGCCCCACTTACTCCCCCTCCTCTTTCCCCCTTCCCTTCTTTCCCCTCCCCACCACTCTCCACGCTTTCTGCACCCCCACTGACCGAAATTTCTTCCTGCACCCGCACGGGATGCTTCTCCCCTGACTGAAGCATTTTGCGCGCGTACGCTTCGATTGGGCGACCCTCCCCTCGCCTCCCAGTCGCCCTTCAGAACCCCGATCCCAAACCAACTGACACTCCACTCCACTGTCATTCTTTCAACTCCTGCGAATTTCTCCACCCTAGAAGCCCAGCTGAGGCGTCGTAGGAGCCACTCCTCCGCAAACGCCGCTCGTTTCCCGCTGGCACAGCTTCGTCAATCTCGCGGCTCCTCCGCCTCCGCCTCTGCCTCCAGAGGAAACTCGCCCACCAGCAGCGGCAAGCCGCGGGGCGCGGCGTCCTGAGCGGCGCCCGGAGCGCTTGATGAAACGACTCCTAAAGAGGCATTCTGAGCGGGCATCATGGCGACGCCGCTTGCCGAACCACAGAGCCACGATAATAATATGCCATACGATCACGAAGCGGCGGACGAAGGAAGGCTCGCCGCCGCCGCCGCCACCGCCGATGGCGCCGACTCTCCAATTCCCGTGACGCGGCGCGAGGAGTGGGGGTGGTATCTGTACGACGTGGCGGTTTCCGCGTTTTACTCGGTCGCGCTGCCCGTGTTCTTCCCGCTGCTCCTCAACCAACTCGCCTCCGACGCCGCGTGGCAGCAGGCGGGGCAGCCGCGCCCGCCCGACTGCGGCGTCGACGGCGTCGCCGTGTATTGCGCGCAGTGCGTGCCGGGCGAGGGAATGCAGCTGCTGACGTCCGCTGGGTAGGTGAGAGAGCGGCCGCGCGGGGAAAGGGGACGGATGGAGGCGGGAACGCGAATAGAGGGTATCTGGCGGGGGAAGGGGGCGGATCTCCCCCACCATGGGGGAGGCGGGCGCCGTGGGGTGGCTGAGTGGGTGAGCGTGATTGTAACGGGGGAGCATTGTGTTGAATTCATGTGAGCAACGTGATGCGAGCAATGTTGGAGAATCCGCAAGAAATCGCAGAGGCGCCACATGGGGACGCCTCCGATCAAAACACCCGTGCCCCATCCCTCGCCTCTTCCCCTCCCCGCGCCGCGCACTCCCGTTCCCATCCTACACTCACATCCGCACCCTGCACTCACATCCGCACCCTGCATTTCACCTCCCTTCCCTATCATTCTTCTCTCCCTCAAACTCCTTCTCAACTCATTCCCCCGCTCTCCCCCATCCCCCCTCTCCCCCTCTCATCCTCTTTCCCCCTCCCCCTCCCCCCCTCTCCCCCTCTCCCCTTCTCTTCCTCTTCCCCTCCCCCCCCCCCTCTCCCACATCCCCCCAGCTACTCGCTGCTGCCGAATCCCAAGGTGCAGGTGGGGGGCGGGGCGAGCATAGACCCCGTGGCATTCGCTACAGTCACACTGGGTCTGTCCGTGGTGTGCCAGGTGGTCGCATTCATCACCCTCGGACCCCTCGCTGACTATGGCATGGGGCGCATGCGCGTGAGTTGGGGGGGGTGGAGTTGGGTGGGTGGGTGGGTGGGTGGGTGGGTGGGTGGGTGGGTGGGTGGGTGGGTGGAAGGGTCACAGTGGGGCTGTCGGTGGTCGGTGGTGCCAGGTGGTCGCATTCATCACCCTCAGGCCCCTCGCTGACTATGGCATGGGCGTCATGCGGGTGGGTGGGCAAAATAAGGGGTGGGAGTATGGGAGTGGGCTGATGAGTGGGATGATGAGTGGTGTGGTGTGGTGTGGAGGTTGCAGATGCAGGTGTATCAAGTGGTCGCATTCATCACCCTATGGCCCCTCGCTGACTATGGCCTGAGGCGCATGCTGGTGGGTGTGTGGGTAAATGGGTGGGCTCATGCAGTTGGGCGGATACTTGGTGGGTTCGTGGGTTTGCTATGCCATGCCATGCCATGCCTCTCCCCCACTCCAATCCCCTCGCCTCTGCACCGCTGCTCATCCCCCGTGCAGCTCCTTCAGGGCGGCACAGCCATGGGCATAGCAGCATGTGCGCTCTGCATGGCGCTGGTCTCTCCGTCCCTCTGGTGGCTCTCCGGGCTGCTGCTAATCATTGCCAATGTGGGCTACGGCCTGGCCATTGTCGCTTACTACAGGTGTGACCTCTGCGCATGGTCGTTGCTGCTGCACCTGTGGGTGTGGCCACACGTGGCCGTGCCTGCACATAATGCTACCTGCTCTCCCCGTCCCTCTGGTGGCTCTGGGGCCTATTTTTGAGTCGACTCAAGAATAGGCTCTCCGGGCTGCTGCTAATCATTGCCAGTGTTGCCTACAGCCTTGCCATCGTTGCCTACTACGGGTGTGTCATCTTGAGAGTTCTTAAAAGCAGGACCCCCCACGCTGCACAGGCTCACACGTGGTGTGCACACAGCATGGGCTCTCAGTGCCGTCCTCACAGCGCTATCTTGGCACGCACCACGTGCAACATGCACACTTGTATGCCATCGCTCCTGCTGCTCCCGCCTGCCATGTGCTGCCGTTTCCTCCGTGCCTGGTGGTGCTGTGCTGTGCTACAGGCAACCTTCAAATTGACTATTGAGGCCACTCACAAGTCAATTCGTGCCTGGTAGTGGTGTGCTACAGGCAACCTTCAAATTGACTATTGAGACCACTCACAAGTCAATTCGTGCCTGGTAGTGGTGTGCTACAGGCGCCTCACTCAACCCGTCCCTTCTCCTCCCCACCCCTCTGTTCCCCTCCACCTTCCGCTGCCCTATCTCACCCCTTGCCAGCTGCCTGCCTGTGATGGTGGATGCACACAGCTTGCACCACAGCTTGCACCACAGCTTGCACCACAGCTTGCACACAGCTTGCACCACAGCTTGCACCACAGCTTGCACCACAGCTTGCACCACAGCTTGCACACAGCTTGCACACAGCTTGCACCACAGCTTGCACCACAGCTTGCACCACAGCTTGCACCACAGCTTGCACCACAGCTTGCACCACAGCTTGCACCACAGCTTGCACCACAGCTTGCACCACAGCTTGCACACAGCTTGCACCACAGCTTGCACCACAGCTTGCACCACAGCTTGCACCACAGCTTGCACCACAGCTTGCACCACAGCTTGCACCACAGCTTGCACCACAGCTTGCACCACAGCTTGCACCACAGCTTGCACACAGCTTGCACCACAGCTTGCACCACAGCTTGCACCACAGCTTGCACCACAGCTTGCACCACAGCTTGCACCACAGCTTGCACCACAGCTTGCACCACAGCTTGCACCACAGCTTGCACCACAGCTTGCACCACAGCTTGCACCACAGCTTGCACCACAGCTTGCATGCACCACAGCTTGCACCACAGCTTGCACCACAGCTTGCACCACAGCTTGCACCACAGCTTGCACCACAGCTTGCACCACAGCTTGCATGCACCACAGCTTGCACCACAGCTTGTACCACAGCTTGCACCACAGCTTGCAGCCAACAAAACGACTCTCGCCTCCACTCTAAAGTTCCCCTCCGCACCCTCCTCCCTGCCCCCCCACCACGCCCGCCCAGCTATCTGCCTGTCCTGGTGGATGCGGCCCCTCCGGTGCTGCTCGCCGCACAGCTCGCAGTGAACGCGCAAGCAGAGCTCTCAGGTGCTGCTGCTGCCAATGTTCCTCGTGCTGCTGCTGGGCTGGAGTCAGCAGAGAAAGCAGCAGCAGAGGGGGGTGGGGAAGAAGGAGAGAAGGCGGTGATGGGAGCGCTGGAAACGCCGGTGGCAGAGCCGCATGCACATGCAGGCAGGCAGGGCTGTCCCGAGGCATTCGTTGCTGTGGACTCGTGTGGGGTGGAATCTGGTGGGTGGAGTCAAGGCGACCTGTTCACACCGCTGCTTGTCACCAGGGACCAGGTGACCGATTAGTCAACAGCAGCTATGCTGTTTGAGGGGTGCGAGAGACCTGTGTGTTTTTTTACGCGCCTCAATAAAGGCGACCTGTACACACCGCTTCTTATCGCCAGGGACCAGGTGACCGCTTAGTGCTGCTGTTTGAGGGGTCCAGGAGACCTGCGTATGCATAGCTGCATGGCGTAAACTAATTCTATAGCTCACGTGTCGTGCCCCGTTACTGGAGCTACTTTGCCTTCTCCCCACCGCCATCGCGCCTTTTCAGCACGTTCCCTCCTGCTGTTTTGAGCCAATTCAGAATCTCACCTCTCTCACCTCAGCACCATCACATGCTGGTATGAGATTCCCTTTTCAGCACGTTCCCTACTGCTCTTCCTCCCGCTATTCCCCCCTTCCCCATCCTCCCCATCAGGAGGAGAACCGCATGTCACTGACAGGGGTGGCCTGTGCCCTCTCCAATGTGCTCACAATGATTGTCTTGCCAGCACCTGCCTCAACCCTCCACCTATCTCATCCCCGGCTCCCCCCTCCCCTCCCCACCAGGAGGAGAATCGCATGTCACTGACAGGGGTGGCCTGTGCCCTCTCCAATGTGCTCACAATGATTGTCTTGCCAGCACCTGCCTCAACCCTCCACCTATCTCATCCCCGGCTCCCCCCTCCCCTCCCCACCAGGAGGAGAATCGCATGTCACTGACAGGGGTGGCCTGTGCCCTCTCCAATGTGCTCACAATGATTGTCTTGCCAGCACCTGCCTCAACCCTCCACCTATCTCATCCCCGGCTCCCCCCTCCCCTCCCCACCAGGAGGAGAATCGCATGTCACTGACAGGGGTGGCCTGTGCCAGCATTGCCTCCTCCTCTCGACCCATCGACTCCCATGCTCTCTCATCCCATGCTCCCTCCCTCATCTGCACCCATCCCTTTCCTCAGGAGGAGAATCGCATGTCACTGACAGGCGTCGCCTGTGCCAGCATCGCATCCATCCTTGCAACGCTCCTCTCCTTCGTGGCCACCCTCCCCGTCGCCACCGACTCCCTCAAGCTGCGCCTTGCCCTGCTGGCCTGCGCCCTCTGGTGGCTCCTCTTCTCCCTCTTCACCTTCCTCTGGCTCCGCCCCCGCCCCGCCCCACCCTTCCCCCCTCCACCTCCCCTCCCCTCCTCCTCCTCCGCCCACCCATGCCACCACCTCACCTTACGCCTCACCTCCGCTCTCTCCTCCGCCTTCGCTGGCTGGCGGCACATGGGCCGGCTATTCGCCGAGGCTCGCCGCTACCGCTCTGCCTTTGCCTTCCTGCTCTGCTACTTCATCTATGCGGACGGCTACACCACCATACTCCAGATCGGAGTCCTCTTCGGGGAGAGAGACCTCTGTGTGCCCACGGAAACCCTAATTTTCCTCGCCATCTGCGTGTCTGTCACTGCCACACTCTGCACGCCGCTGCTCTTCTACCTGCAGCGCTGCATGCACCCCATGCTCACCAACAAGGCCATGGTCATGCTCATGCTCGCCGGCATGCTGCCATTACCCCTCTGGGGGTTACTGGGTTACCTCACACCGCCGCAGTCCGTGGGGCTGAAGGCGCCTTGGGAGCTGTTTGTGTTTGCGTGCTGGTTTGGGTTTTTTCTGGGCGGGCTGAACGCGTACTCGAAGACGCTGTTTATTGATATGATCCCTGTGGGGCGCGAGGCGGCGTTTTTCTCGCTCTACTCTGTGAGCGACAAGGGCTCGTCGTGGCTCGGGCCGTTCATTGTCGCCATCATTGTGCAGGTGAATATCTTTTCTTTCTTCTCTTCTCCTCCCTCTCTCCTTTCGCTTCTCTTACCACATCTCACCTTTTCACTCTGCATGCACCTCTCTGTGCGCATGCCTTGCCCTGCTGCTCACTCACCACGAGAACCATCTCGCATTCACATGCTCGCAAGCAATATCACTCACACTTGTTCCATTACAATCACCATCAGCAATCGCATTCCTGCCTGTCTGTGCCATTGCAGATCACGGGTGAGCTCCGTCCGAGCTTCCTCTATGTGTTCCTGGTCATCCTCATTCCCTTAGTCTGCCTGTACTTCTTTGTCAACCATCAGCAAGGCATTGTGGATGCCGGTAGGGCCGCACACCAACTACACCAGGTGGCAAACCATGACGATCAATGAATGGACATATATTTCGTTTTAAACTAAAAAGAAGTTAAACTTCAGTCATGCAAAAACTGAGAACTGCGATTAGGCCACACAGCTCTCAAAAAAAGGAGACGATGCAGTGAGGCTGAGAATTAAATGCAGCACTGAAGGACTTAGTGCCTAGTCACTCTGACAAACGTTCAAGTGCATATCGTTTTCTGACTGGTACCGTAAACGAGGGTATCACAACCTTCTGCTACGCCTCTCCAGCCCACTCAACCGTTTTCGAAGACGCCCTTATGAAAACCTACGCAAATTTGTGCTGTGCTTTCTGGTCGGTGAATGTGCGGTGGGCGAGGTGGCACGAAGCCCAGGCGACGCATCGTGTCGTGTCAGGACTCAGAACCAGTGGGACGATTGTAACCGTTTCTTTCGTCACAGTCGAGGTCGAAGGACACACACCAGTGGTCAGATTAACGAAGGGTTACTTGAGTACAAGTGACGACAGCGATTCATGGGGCCGAATTCGCTGAAGTTCCAGCCGAAACAGATGCACAGGAATTCCTGATCTGTGAGTTGACGTGAATTGCAGTTTCAGGAAAGACGCACCCAGCTCATCGCGCCGCCTGGCAACTAATTTCGCGGGTGTTTGAGTAGCGTAGTACTGTACGCGAGACACAGTGAATTGTAGATTCGCCTTTCATGTCGCCCCCTGTCGCCTCCATTTTGCCAGCGCGAGTCGCCACGCCGGCCGTCGCTTCAGCCGCAGTCTGCGCGCCTGCGGCATCTTCAAGGCGGCTACCCACCGCACCCAGCGCCGTTTTGTGCCGCCACGACCCGCACCAGCACAACGGCAGATGCCAATTCCACCCCGCGCACCGACAGCACCGCCTCCTGCGACGCCAGAACTCGCTGCAGCGAGCGATCGGCCATTCCATGCGACCAGCTGCTTCCGGACCGTCGCCTGCGACGCCGGCGACGTCGCCCAGGGCGAGCAGCTCCGCCGCGTCGTCGCCGCCACCGTCGTCGTCGTCGGCCTCTGTCGCGCGGCCGAGTCGCACGCCGCACAGCGGGTACCACTACGCGCCGAGCAGCAGCAGCGGCAGCGGCGGAGGCGCTGAGCAGCCGTTCTTCGAGGGATGGTACTTCAAGGTGTCGCTTCCCGATTCACGCGACTCGTTCGCCTGGATGTACTCCGTTGAAAACCCCTCCGCGCCTCCCCCTGAAGCCGCCGCGTCTTCTTCCCCCGGCGCGCGGAAGGGGGGGCTGCCGTGCTTGATGATGCAGGCGATGGGGCCGGCGGTGGACAGGCAGGCGGAGTGGGGGCGCGGGGAGGCGGGCGCGGAGGGCGGCGGGGATGCGAGGGACTATGTGTATCAACAAACGGCGGACACGGGACGATTCTGGGGAGGTGAGCGCGGGGGAAAGGAGTAGGGCGGAAAGGGAAGGTCGTTTCCATCCCCCCCTTTCCCCACCCCCCTCCTCTCCTCCTCTCCCTGCCGAGGTAGTACCCCTGGCGGAGTGTGCCTTCGCTCTTCTTCCCTGGCGCCTCTTCTCCTTCTGCCCCCGAGAGCCCCTCTCCTCTTCGCGTAACCTTTTTCAGCCCCCACCCCACCGTCCCCTATACTCTCATCACATGTCAAGATCCCATCCCCTTCTCCCTATTCCGTTTCCTTTCCCCGGCTCCATCTCCCCCCCTGTCTTTCCCCCCTCCCCCCTCTGCAGCGCGGCACGAGTTGGCGCTGGGAGCGTGCTTCCAGCCCAGGGAGGGGCAGGTGTCGCCTCTGGGGGAGGTGCCACCTCAGGTGGGTGGTGCTGGTAGCAGGGGAGTGGCGCTCTGTAGGCTGAGTCTATACACCATCTTTATGTACCACTATACACCACATCGGTAACACATGTGGTTACCACTTTCATAACACAACTGTAAGGCGCCATTGAGGGGCACACACAGTGCAGAGAAGAGACTCTTCCTTAGTTGGGTGGAGAGGGAGTAGGGTTGGACAGGAGTGAGAGGGAAAGGCATGATATGAGGGAGCATTGGGGCTGTGGAGTGAGGGGCACGGGGAGTGTAGTGTGGGTGAGAGCAGGTTGAGGCAGCCTCAGTGCTGACCCTGTTGTGGGGCCACCACATGTGGCACGAGTGGACTGTGACTGTGAGTGTGGTTGTGAGTGTTAGTACGAGCGTGACTGGCTTTCGTACGTGCTGCACGCGTGTGTGCCGTGTGGTGTCGTGTGCCGTGTGGTGTCGTGTGCCGTGTGATGTGTCCTGTCTACAATGTGGCGCTGGGAGTGGTGGTCGAGCTTGCAGTGTATCCGTCCGTGGAGTGGAGGCTGTTGATACCAAGAGCTGTCAAACTCCTTTCTTCCTTACACGTGGGATGTGTGAGCAACAGGAGTTCGAGGCAAGGGTGCAGTATGGATTTCAGGTCACGCCCTTCCTGCATCAAGGCACGCTCAAGAACCAAGATGATGGTGATGGTGATGGTGATGGTGATGGTGGTGGTGGTGGTGGTGGTGGTGATGGTGATGGTGGTGGTGATGGTGATGGTGATGGTGATGGTGATGGTGATGGTGGTGGTGGTGGTGGCAGTCATGCTGTCTTGAGTTGTAACTGGGTCATAGCACACTCACCTCGCTGCCAGTTGCCAGGCGGCTCTCTGTCCAGCTGCCACCTGCTGGGCTTGGGTGCACACGAGTTTTGCACATCGCTACTCCCCCTCCCCAATCCCAATGGCCTCTCACTGCTCTCCATCCCGTCCTGTCTCCTCCCCTCTCTAGATACATCTCAGAGCGCCACTCTCGAGACGCCTATTTAAACTCTGTTCCACCTCCCAACTCACCCAAGCAGCATAGTGCGCTGGCGCTACGAGGTGACGCCCATTGATGGCTGGGGTCCAAGAGCCGGCACGCAGCTGTCAACCGCTGGTTGGCTCTCTGCGCTGCCAGCTTTTGAACCGCACTGGCAGGTGAGGGTGACGTGGGAGGTGAGGGTGATGTGGCAAGTGAGGGTGACGTGGCAGGTGAGGGAGATGTTAGGTTTGAATTTGGCACCCGGGAGACTCTCAAGGGTGTTGCTTACAATCGACTCAAGAGTCATCATTTGTGGATTCAGCTGATGTGGCAGCTAATGTAATACCTTGTCATCATCCCATAACCTCCACATACCCCCCTGCACCCCTCCCAGCCCATCGCACCTCCTGTCATACCCCACCCCTCCTCGTCTCTCACAGGTGTGGATGGCGAAAGGGAGCGCAAAGGGATGGGTGCAGTGGGGGGGCCACCAATGTGAGGTCGTGTGCTTTTTGAGTCACCAGAGGGACTCAATTGACACCTTCATCACCCACCCACCATCAACCTCCATTCACCTCCCATCACCTCTCTCACCTCCCGCCACCCCCCATTTTCCCCACGCAGGTGTGCATGGCGATGGGGCGAGCAAGAGGGTGGGTGGAGTGGCAAGGGCACCGCATTGACTTCACAGACGCACTCACCTACTCGGAGAAGAATTGGGGCGGCGCCTTTCCCCTCAAGTGGTTCTGGGTATGATTACACGCCTTTGGGGGTGAGGGCGTATGATGATGACAGCTCTTAGGGGAGTGGCAGGGGCACCGCATTGAATTCACGGACGCCGTGACCTACTCTGAGAAGAACTGGGGCGGCGCATCCCCCCTCAAGTGGTTCTGGTTATGATACGCTTCTATTCTAAGGAGAATTTTCGGATTGGCGTTTTGGAGAGTGTCTGGCAACGAAGCAGTGGTACGGGGGGGGCTATTGCACGGGCTTTCCCCCTCAAGTGGTTCTGGGTACGACACGCCTGTGTTGAGGGGGGTCGGTTGGGATCAGAGTAGCGCACGCAGAGATGACCCAAATCTGCTGCGCGGAGTCACTTAGGGTTTGAATCTTGGCCGATCGCGTCTCTCGCCCCGACCAACCTCCCTAACTTCAAACAATTTGGCCGGCGGGTTTGAAGACTGTAGGCATAGAGGCTCAGCTACCCGAGCTTCTCTCACACACTGAGGCTCAGGTAGACATACATGGGGCTTCACTCACTGTGGGCAGTATGATGCATGCTTTACTGTGTCTGTCTGCATGCTATCCCTGCCATCCGCTGCTTCCCTCCCACCTCGTCTTCCCTTCCCTATTTTCTCCCCGTTTCCCACCTCTATACCTCCGTCTCTTACACCCAGATCCAGTGCAATGTGTGGTCGCACGTGTCCCTGGGGTCCGCAGTGGCGCTCACAGTGGCGGGGGCGAAGCGCCAGCTCAACCTGCCGCTGGTGGCCAACTCAATAGAGGAAGTGGGCATGGTGAGACGCGGGGGTAGCCTGCGAGAGAGGCTGGGGACGTATCGTTCGGGGCCTCACAATGGCGCTCACAGTGGCGGGGGGCGAAGTGGTAGCTCAATCTGCCGCTGGTGGCCAACTCCGTGGAGGAAGTGGACATGGTGAGATGGCAGTGGGCTGGTGAGATCATTTTGTCCCAACACTTAACCTACCACGAGGGTGTGTGGAAGTGGCTCTTCCTTTCCTCCACATTCTCCCCTTGTTCCTATGTGCTGCCGTGGCAGGTGGGGATGCACTGCGAGGGGAATTTCATTGAGTTTGTGCCTAACAGGGGCGCAGTGCGCCCAACAGGGGCGCAGTGCGCCCAACAGGGGCGCAGTGCGTCCAACAGGGGCGCAGTGCGCCCAACAGGGGCGCAGTGCGCCCAACAGGGGCGCAGTGCGCCCAACAGGGGCGCAGTGCGCCCAACAGGGGCGCAGTGCGCCCAACAGGGGCGCAGTGCGCCCAACAGGGGCGCAGTGCGCCCAACAGGGGCGCAGTGCGTCCAACAGGGGCGCAGTGCGCCCAACAGGGGCGCAGTGCGCCCAACAGGGGCGCAGTGGGGTGGAGTGGCTTTCCCGCTTACCCCGTCCCCTACGTCTAAGTCGTCCCAGCAGCCCCCTTTACCCGTCTCTCGCGTGTGCTGCCGTGGCATGGCAGGTGGGGCTGCCCTGGCAGGTGGGGCTGCCCTGGCAGGTGGGGCTGCCCTGGCAGGGGCAGTTCATCGAGTGCCCGACAGAGGCGCCGTGGAGGGAGTGACACCCACGCCCTTATCCTTCCATGTCTGTGCGTGTTTTGAGTCGACTCAAAACACACCATTTCTGTGCCCTCCCATATGCTTCCCACATACTCGCTCCGCTCTATGCTGTGCGTGCAGGTGGGGCTGCACTGGGAGGGGCAGTTGATCGAGTTTGTGCCCAACAGGGGCGTTGTGGAGTGGAAGGTGCAGCCGTGGGGCAGCTGGCTCATGCACGCTCAGAACGAGCAGTATGAGGTGAGGAGGGAGCGAGCGAGGAGGGGTGGTGTGAGGTGAGGAGGGGTGGTGGGTGGAGCCACCCACACACAAACTCATTTACTCAAAAGCCACTCACATCACATCACATCACATCACAAGCGACACACTGACAAGCAACCTGAACAGGTGACAACAGCATCGCTTTGAGTCGACTCAACCTGAAGAGGTAACAAGCAACCTGAAGAGGTGACAAGCAACCTGAAGAGGTGACAAGAGCATCTGCTGCTGCCAACACATCTCACTTCCCATCCCACTCTCCCATCCAGAAAACACTCACTTGCCACTTCTGTCCCCCTCGCTCCCCCACTACTCCCCCTGAAACCCCAAACCCGAAACTGTAAACCCGCCCCCCACTGCTCCGCGCCCTCCCTTGACTGCTCCGCGCCCTCCCTTGACTGCTCCGCGCCCTCCCTTGACTGCTCCGCGCCCTCCCCTCGTCGAGGTAACAGTCGAGGCACACACTACCAGGCGACAGCGGCATGCCCCTGCGGGGAATTCTACATTCTGCTCCCCCGCTTCCCCCACTGCTCCCCCGCTTCCCCCACTGCTCCCCCGCTTCCCCCACTGCTCCCCCGCTTCCCCCACTGCTCCTCGCCCTCCCCCTCTACCAGGTGACAGTTTCGGTACACATCACACACCACCGAGCGATGACTGCACTGCATTTGAGGCACCTTAAAAGTCCTCTGCTTCATCTTTCCCTCACTCCATTCTTTCACTCCATTCTTTCACTCCTTTTCCTCGTTCCACGTAGCAGTGGAGCAGAGCCGCACACACTACCAGGCGACAGCGGCATGCCCCTGCTAGTGGCCCAAAACCAACTGCCCTTATTCCTCCTATTCACTCCCTTCCCCCTGTTCACTCACTTACCCCACCACGTAACAGTGGAGGAGGCGCACACACTCCCAGGCGATACCACACCACCCACTGCACGCCCCTCATCTGCCCCTTCCCGTGCTCTCCCCCTTTTATTCCTCCTGTTCACACCCTCCCCCATCGCAGCTACCAGTGGAGGCGCACACACTACCATGCGACAGCAGCACACCCTGCTAGAAACTTCACATTTTCCCTCCGCGCCCTCCTCCCACTCTCCGCGCCCTCCCCCCACTCTCTGCGCCCTCCCCCCACTCTCCGCGCCCTCCCCCCACTCTCTGCGCCCTCCCCCCACTCTCTGCGCCCTCCCCCCACTCTCCGCGCCCTCCCCCCACTCTCCGCGCCCTCCCCCCACTCTCCGCGCCCTCCCCCCACTCTCCGCGCCCTCCCCCCACTCTCCGCGCCCTCCCCCCACTCTCCGCGCCCTCCCCCCACTCTCCGCGCCCTCCCCCCACTCTCCGCGCCCTCCCCCCACTCTCCGCGCCCTCCCCCCACTCTCCGCGCCCTCCCCCCACTCTCCGCGCCCTCCCCCCACTCTCCGCGCCCTCCCCCCACTCTCCGCGCCCTCCCCCCACTCTCCGCGCCCTCCCCCCACTCTCCGCGCCCTCCCCCCACTCTCCGCGCCCTCCCCCCACTCTCCGCGCCCTCCCCCCACTCTCCGCGCCCTCCACCGACCAGGTAACAATGGAGGCGCACACACTCCCAGGCGACAATGGCACGCCCCTGAGGGCGCCCACAGCGGAGGGCATGAGGTTCTTCTGCAAGGACTCGTTTGACGGGCGGGTGACGCTGGAGCTGCGCCAGCGGTACTCGGGGCAGGTGGGGCAGGTGGGGCATGTGAGGCATGTGAGGCATGTGAGGCATGTGAGGCATGTGAGGCATGTGAGGCATGTGAGGCATGTGAGGCATGTGAGGCATGTGAGGCATGTGAGGCATGTGAGGCATGTGAGGCATGTGAGGCATGTGAGGCATGTGAGGCATGTGAGGCATGCGAGGCATGTGAGGCAGGTGAGGAGCGGCGCTCAGGGCAGGTGAAGCGCTCAGAGCAGTTGTGGTATGTGAGGGTTGTTGAGGCATAGGAAGGTGCATCTCTCCTTGCAGCGCGCATGATCGTTCCCCATCTGCAGCATTGCTGCTGTGCTTCGTGATAAAAGGGAAAGCAGAGGCACGAAGCACGGCAGCAACACTGCAGGCGTTTGAAGAGTTGATGTTTTCTGTTCGAATCATGTTCCCCATGCCACCACCCCCCTCCCACGCTTCACCAGTTGCTCCTGAGGGCGGAGAGCACAGCAGCAGCGGTGGAGGTGGGGGGAGGGCCGTGGTGGGAGGCGTGGGAGCAGAGAAGCCGCATGAACCCCGCTCAGAGCGCTGTTATCTCGCTGCCTCTCAACCTCTCCTCCTTGCTCCCACCCTCCCTGCAACCTCCGGGACTGTGACCCACTACCCAGTGCCATCATGGCGACCTGTGTCATTATTATGCTCATCCTTCCCTGAAACTGTCACACCGTGCAGCACATTAACACAGCAGAGAAGATTTGTTCTTCAGGTCGATACCACTGTCGCACAGGGCTGGAATGGAATGGAGAGTATCACTTGTCAGCATCACTTGGAGTAACAATGTTACCGAGGAAAGCCAATCATTCCCAAGCACGGAAGACTACAGTAAGAAAAACGAGCACTCTCTTCTCTTCAGAGTGACTTGGCAGTTACATTCATAACTTGTTAGGTGGCATGCATGTACAGAGTACCTATCTAACCCAAGTGTCAGAGCATTGTGTGAGGATGACAGACCAGCCGTGCCTCTGGCACCGTGCCAGTGTGGTCAAGGGATGACCCCAGCCCTCCTGACACAAGCTCTGACACCAGGCTGCATGAATCGAATCTAGCTAGGTAAGCTGCTGCAGGGAACCCTACTAGGTATATTATCCATTTGACCTCACGTGGCAGGGTGGTGCAGTCAGTAGCCCTTGGGGCGGAAGAACACCGAGAGACCATGCGCCTTGAGGAACTTGCCCGTGTAGAGATCAGGAAACAGCACAACCCCCTGCACGGCAGCAGTCGCGTTGCGCGGGCCCAGCACGGCCTTCTTAGCGTTAGCACCCACCGAGGGATACCGCTGCAGCAGATCAGTGGGTGGCGCCTTGGTTCGCAGTAGCGTCCTAGGTGCGAGCTTGAGCAGCTGCGCGGCGGTGAACTGGCGCTGCAGCACGTTGAATTTGCCGATGGCCTCCATGGCCGTTGTGTTCTGTAGGGTCTTGATTCCCACGCCGTACACCGCCTTGTTCGTTGGCACCAGCAGCGTCGTGTTGAAGAGTTGAGGCAGCTGCGAGTTGGGGTACTTCACTGTCATGGGGAAAGGAGAGGGATGGTGGAGGGGAGAGGGGAGAGGGGAGAGGAGAGAGGAGAGAGTGAGTGGATAGGCGAGACCTGGCGAAACGGTGTCACTGTAGAGATGTGTCTCAACATAAAGTCAGTCTCATGTACCATGTTTGTTGCATCTCGGTTCCTCACTCAGAAGAAACCCTAACCGAACGTCCAAGATAAGTAACGCCTATGGGCTGTGTTAAGGGCATTCCGCTGCGCCGAATAACACCCTCGTTTTCATCCAGTGGGTAGCGACTCGCTAGAATGCGAGGTGTTATACGAGATGCACTCAAATTAAGAGCTAAGAGAAAGGGGTGCGCGTAGCTTCTTGAAGAAGCGAAGAGAAGGTTTTGGAGGAGCAGTACTCACGCATATTATCGACGCCTCTCCCGAACGCTGAGTATTCCTTCGTCTTAGCCAACACCGCCTTGAGCGCTTTGAGTTCCGCCCGGAATTGCGCCACCGTTGGTGCTGCGAACGCTTGGCAAGCTGCGAGCAGCAGCAGCGCCGCGATGAGAGAAAACGTGTGCGAGCGCGAAATCGCCATGATAGCTTCGGTAGATGATATAGTTAGAAAATAATAGGACCCGCGAGGCTATGGAGTACCGCGTTACTAATGGGAGATGCTGTGAAATTCAAACAGGAAATGTAGACTTCCCACAGCTAGCTGTCCAGTTGATCGGCGAGATGGCAGAAAAAAGGAACGATGCGAGAGATTCTCTGAAGTCTTATAATCAAAGTCAATGAAGGGACGTGCGGTAGAAGAACCCTGTAGGGAGCTTGTGAGATATGTAATCTGGTCTGGAGATAGCTGTGCCATATGGGCACTACAGTATTTGTAGTTGTGTCTATGCGGCCGGGGAAAGCGGTTTGGCTAGGCTTGGCTTGGCGGATAGGCCTTGGTGTTGGTCGCTGCTGGGGGGTTGCGGTACAGTTAGCGCGCGACTGGGAAGAACAGACGGGCGGGCAGGGAGAATTGACGGCCGGTCCTGCCAAGCCAATGGATCGAAGGCTATAGGCGAGCGGTGCCGCTGTGGGATCGATGGCTCCACAGTTCCGGGGCCAAGTGAGAAACCAGGCGGTTCGATGACGCCGACAAGACGCGCCTGTCCGACGCAGCGCGGGTCCCTCCCCGCCAAGCGAGGAAGCTTCGAACCCATTCCATCCCAACCATCCCATCCTGCCCATACCATTCCACGAACGATGGGCGGCGTCATCTTACAATGAAACGCGTTGTCGTTTGGGGGGCTTCCATTCGAACAAGGATACACTTGTTGTGGATAATGAGTTTCGATGCTTATCTAACAACGACCTAGAAAAAGGTGTTTGAACAAAGTGAATGAAAAAATATGCAAGAAAGCGTATAACATTGGCATGTACATTATTTACCCTATCATGGAGCCAAGTAGTACTGAATTTCTTAAACTTGCCCAGCCCATGAGTAATACCCGTACACCCATCCAACCAGCAACCCCAGCATCACCAGCTGCAGGTGCAAACGCCCTGAACCATGCTGCTGCTAAGCGAGGGGGTGGCTGGGCGTGAGGAACCATGGTGCGTTCAACGACCTATACGTGCACTTCTCGGGGCTCTGAGTCTCTGGCTCCAGCAGCTGGACGATTCCTGCAGCGCATGGATCAAGCTGCTGCTATGCAAGCGGGTTGCTGGGCGGGAACCACGTGCAGTTCCAGTAATACTTGAAGTTACTGTACGTGCATTTCCGGGGGCTCTGGCTCCAGCAGCTGGACGGCGCCAGGCACGTGCTCGTGCCGCACGGCACGCGTGAGCAGCACATGCACTGGCTGTAGCACGAATCGTAGTTTGCCTGCAGCTGAGTGGACGTGCCGCCCAGCGTGTTGCTGGTCGCGCGGCACACGTTCTCACACACCGTCTGCTCCACTGCGCAGCACTTGCCCGGAGTATCCCCCTGCAGGACGGTGCAGTCGCTGTCCAGCGGCTTCCAGGTGGGGTAGGGGCATGTGCTCCATGCACACCCGTACCCCGAGGCGGGGGCGAGGCCGGCTCGGCCGGTGCAGGCAGCGTTGCAGCCGGCGCACACGCCGTCTGAAATGACTGGCAGCGCGTAGTTGCAGAGCGCGTCGCAGTAGGACGGGTACGTGACATAGTCTGCGCCGCAGACCGGGAGAGACTGCGCACACCCGCAGTCGAGGATCCCCACGCGCGCGTCACACGGGATGATGAGCGTGGTGTTGGTTACCAGGGGGGAAGTTTCCAGGATGTTGTTGGCAGCGGCGATTGCGGCAGGGGAGACGGAGGAGGAGGTGCAGCGCGTGATGAACTTGGAGGAGATGAGGGCGAGGGAGTCGCCCGACTGCACGGTGTAGAGCGAGAAGGAGGTGTTGGATGCGGTGGACGCGGTGAGGAGCGACGCGAGGAGTGGGGAGTTGATGCAGACCTTCTGGCCCACTTGGAGGTAAGGGGCTTGGCACTGTCACGGAAATGGGGTGTAGGGCATGGGGGAGATTGATTCATGAATGGATGAATATGTGGGAGGGAGGAACATCAGATGAAGAAGCAATGACTTGTGTTGCTCGAGGTTGAAGCCTGATGAGGCCAGAATTGGTGCCTCATGAAGCCAGAATTGGTGGCTTACCCGGATGCCGGGGTTGATGGTGAGGAAGGTGGACTCGGTGAGGTTGGCGGCGTTCCAGATGTTGGGGCAGTTGTCGCCCTGCAGCACCGTGTACCACGCCGTGCAGTTCACCATGGTCTGGAGGCAGGAAGGGGGAAAGGACAGAGAGCAGGAAGAAGGGGCGAGACAGTGAGATAGGGGCCCTACAGCACCGCGTACCACGCCATGCAGTTCACCGTGGTCTGCAGGAGGGAGGGCATGGGAGGGCGCGTAGCAAGCAAGGTGGAACGAGGCAGTGAGACAGCAGCCCGGCAGCACCGCGTGTGCTGTATGGTGCGCCTCCTCCATTGCTTGCAGAGAAAAGCAGGGCACAAGAGACAAGAAACAGACAAAACTTTCAAACAAGAAACTCCAGTAAAGCATGTGGCACACGGGACTAGGGACGGCGGGAACGGACAAATACACGAATGCAACTTGAGAGACGTCTCAGAGTCTTCCCACGACCCACCTGTGAGCTCTTGGGCGCGACGCAGACATACGACCCCACGGGGATGGCAGTGGTGCACGAGAGCGCGCTGTTGAGCCCCATGAACGTGCCCAGGCTGACCGCGAACTTGGACGCCACTGACGGGCACGTGTCGCCCGCCACTGTGATGTACGTCTGCCCGCACTGCGGCACGGCCACGGCTGCCAGCGAGGAGAGCGAGCTGGTGGCCGTGCAGATGATCTGAGGGGCGTGGAGGGCGGCACAGCCAGTCGTGCTGCATGTTAGCGAATTGGCGCTTCTCGGGGAATAACAACAGAGAAACAAGAGAAAACGATTCAGGAAAAGACGTGTTTCAGCAGCGGCGAGAGCGTGCGTGCTCGTGGCTTATGTCGCTCACAGCAGCACTTGAGGAGCCTCAGAAGGGTTAAGTCACCTGTGCGGGGTAGAGGAAGGAGCGCGTCGTGGTGCATGTGAGCGGATTGGCAGCACGCAGCGCTGATAAGCTCCCAGAGAAGAAGGTGTTCGCGAGGGACGTGCAGGTGTCGTTCGGTTGCACGGAGTACGTTGCGGTGCAGAGCGGTGCAGAGGGGGATATGGAGGTGGAGGAGGCGTTGGCGACGGTGAGGATGAGCGAGGGGGGAAGGTAGGTGAGGGAGCAGTTTAGGAAGGGGTTGAGAGCGGTGAGCGTGGCGGTGGTGAGGCCAAAAGCAGCAGCAACGGAGGAGCACGAGTCACCGGGCACTGTGGGGTACGCCAGGAACGAGGCTGTGCCGCCCGCCACTCCCACGCACGTCTGAGTTCCGTCTGATGCCGCTCCTATGGCGTAGCCCTGCACGGGGGGAGGGGAAGGGGAGGGGAGGGGGGTGGAAGGGGAAGGGGAAGGGCAGGAGGCGGGAGAGGAGGAGTGGAACGGAAGGAGGCGGGAGAGGAGTGGAATGGAAGGAGGCGGGAGAGGAGGAGTGGAATGGAAGGAGGCGGGAGAGGAGGAGTGGAACGGAAGGGATGAGGCGCGTGGGAGCGGAGGAGCGAGACACGAGTGCACATGAGAGGGCACGCGAGTCAAGGGGAAATAGGACGGCAAGCTTTCTGGGCTAGGCAGAAACCAAGGATCGGTGGGGCACTCAAGGAGAGGCAGGGGGGGAAACGAGTAAGGGCGCACTCACGGCGGGGCACTGGCACGAGTAGGTGCCGTCGCCAGGGCTGGCGCACGTGCCGCTGCCGCAGGGGTTGTACTGGCCGCGGCTGGTGCAGGGGTTGCGCGGCGCGCACTTGCTCGTCGGCACGCCCGTCACCTCCACCATCCCCGCCAGCGCGCTGCAGTCGCACCGCGCGATGCCCGCGCGCGTGTAGCAGCGGCCCGCGCCGCACGGGTTGATCCCCGCGCACGCGTCCAGAGCGATGTTGTAGGCGCGCGTCCACCAGCGGCCGTCATAGCCGTCGTCCGCGCGCCAAATCGGACCGTTGTTCATCTTCACTGGCTGCGGCCCGCTCGGGTAATACACCGGGTACATGGCGGGGATGCTGGGAGGGGGGGGTGGGGGGGAAGGGGTGGACGGAGGGGGGTAGGGAAGGCGGAAGGGGAAGAGTTTGAATGGATGCTGGAAGGGAAGAGGGAGGGGAGGGCGTATTGCGGATCCTTGGAGGATGGGACTGGCCGAGAAAGCAAGTGCTTACGCGTGGATGCCGCATTTCCCGCGCACGTCGGACGACATGGCGAGGTACATGTAGCCGCCGTCGCCCCACGTGTTGAACCACGTGTTCTTCAGGATCCAGTAGCTGCCCGCGAGACTTGGTCCCGTGTAGTTGTACCCCACCACGAGCATCGCGTGGTTGATGTCCGTCGTGCACAGCCCGTCGTAAATTTTCAGCTGCCCGCGCGAGTTGTACTGCTGGAAGTCCTGCGCGGAGCCGCTGAGGAAGGCGACGACGGGCTGCATGCTGACGGCCTTCATCAGCGCCAGCGCGTTGTACGGCGGCACCAGCTCCCACCCCGTGATCTGCGGCGGGAGGGACGCACGCGGTGTCAAGAAAGAGAGGAAAGGAATGAGTTGAGACAAAGACATCCGCAGAGCTGCGCGATGCATTGCGAAGAGGCTAGATCGGGCTGCGACAGGCGCGATGAGGAACACAAGTGCGAAAACGGGACTTGAAAAAGAGAACGAAAAATGAGTTCAATTGGTCTGTGTGGATGACCTGGGCGGTGGTTGGTGTGAGCGAGTTAGCCAAGCACACTGTACTGTCGTTAGCCATGTAGGGGTAGTAATCCACCGAAGTGACGCCGCCATTAAAGAGTACGTACGAAAAGGCCCAGTCGGGCCAGCCGCCTTGGCAGCACTGCTTCGTCCCGCAGTCGCACACCTGCCAGTCCCGAAACAGAACTTTGATAAATACAGTAACTTTCACAGAAATTATATGCCTATATGAGAGGTATGCTGAGAGTTTGGGAGGATTTAATGAGGGAAAGGCAGGCTTTCAAGAATAACAGCGCAGAATTTTCACGCACTTGTTGCGGGGAAAGGACGGCTGGGAGAGAGTTGGTGTTGATCGCCCACATCATGGAGATAGAATCAACGGCTGTAATCGCCCAGCAGCTAGCGCACTGCCATGTGAAGGAATTGGGGAAAAAGGTAGAACATAAAAGAAGAGTGTTATCATCAGACGACATGAATTTGCGCGCAGAAGAAGAGCGTTGCGTTGAGAAAGAAAATCTCCCCATCCCTTTTTCACCTCCACCTTCAGCCCCCGCGGACGGCACTTCAGAACGTGGCGGCATATAAGTTACCAGGTACTGCCGTTGGATGGGCGAGATGTACATCGTCTGACGCCAGTCCACCACCGCATTCGGCGTGACGGACTCGAAACGGAAAAACGTGTTGTTGACGTCAGCCATGCTCGGGCCTGAGTTGAGCGGCGGGGGATTCAGCCCGAACTGCTTCTTCGGCGCTTCTTTCAGTTCTCGACGAGAGCCGTTTTCTTCGCCAATGTCGTCATTTTCGCCATCGTCGTCAGGCACCAAGTCGCTGAGCCTCGCTGCTCTGTATATCTCCTTGAGTTTCGGGCTTAACTGTAGGGTTTCTGTCAATGCCTGCTCGTAGCGCGTTGCGAAGCTGTTGCTTGGTAACGACTGCGACGCGGCGGCGATGGCGAGTGACAGACCGCATGCGAGAAATGTGAGGACGACGAGAGGCGAACCTCTCCTGCACGCGCGTGCGATACCCATTTAACTTGTGCTAGGGATACTATAAGGTAAGCGCGTTATATGCTGCTGCCGAGAAAAGGTTCTGTGGGGTTATAGACTGCGAACACAAAGATCCGTGGGGTTGTACAAATGGGGGAGGAGCTGTTAGGGAGGAGAAAATGGTTGCAGGTGCGGCTCAGTCCAAGAAAGATGAGTCGCTCGAGGCTATTGTGGAGAGAAGTCTCATCGCCGAAGCTTAGAAGCTTGTTCTCGTGAGCGACCAGACATCTCCGCCTCATCCTGCGGATGCGGGCGTTTCGAGTTGGGTTCGGAGGTGCGTCCAAGGAATGCGAGCGTGCAAGCTACTATGGCAGTAGGTGAAGCATGGGACCTTGCAGGTGCTGCTGTGGGGAGAATGTCCCATCCATCACATGAGCACATTTGGGCAGATGCGGCTCGGAGGCTGACTAATTTCGTTGGGCTGTTTCGCCAGAATCTCTGTGCAGCACTGTAACCAGCAGCGATGCCAGTTGCCAAGCGTCAAACCCCATGTCGCGGATGAGCCGCGACAAGGAGAAGCAGAGGGGGTTGCCTGTAACAACGCGGCCCTGATGTCAGCTTGTAGCTGTCAAGGAGGGCCAACCAGAGGAGACCAACTAATGAAATCGACAGAGCCTGTCTCCTTTGGGTCGCCAAGGGGCACATGTTGCGCCATTTGTGTTCTTTTGTCGGTTGGTTGGTAGTTTCCTCTCACACGTATTTGTTTAGGCGGTGTGGGTGGTGGTGTTGCGTTGTCTCGTTGGTGTGTGCAGGGTGTTGCATCATGTACGCGCCTGTCGTGCTAACCCGTTACGTGTACAACCTTCAACTCTTTTAACAAGTCAGTTGTTACCCCTAAGATATTATCTTCATTCTTTGTTACCACTGTATGATGATTGCGCCGACATTACAGTCCACTTTCCTGCTGGCAATTTTGCATCACAATTCAGTACCATGTGATAGTATCACATTTCCTTTATTATCGAAATGATGTACAAGTACGCAGATACGGTAGGCTTCCCAAAGTTTTGAAACTGAAGTGGCAACTATGTCCCTTCAACCATTGCTCTAGTACCGTATGTACCCTAGTCCCCTTCAACCCTAGTCACGGGTTGTCCCACCTGTTGACTCCCCTATCCCTAGCAAGGAATATTGTACAAAGACCTGCAACGAATGTTGCATCGCAAGTTGGGAAAACAGGGTAAAACAGGTGGAATCCCTTCCTGCCGCAAATGACGGAGAGGGGAAAACGCTGTACAATTTGGGGCATGCGTTGCGCAGTCCTCTGTACCACACTGCACTCCCCAGTACACCAACACTGAGCACATCAGCCACCATGTATCGCTGGGTACCACAAGGACGGACACACACCCCTGGGCTCCGCAGCCAATCACAGCGGCAGCAATCCAGCCAATCGCAGGTGCAGCAATCCAGCCAATCACCGGTGCAGCAAGCAACGCAGGCAATCAGAGCTCGAGAACAACGCAGCTGACGACGACATCGGAGGGGCAACCGACGCCATCAATGCGGCGAGTGAGCAGCACCCCGTCGCACCGCAGCGCCTCCTCCACCTCCACCACCACCATAGACAGCCCCCGCCCTATCACGTACAGCCGCCCGCAAAACCCTAATATCCGGCACGGCGGCGTCAGCAGCGCCGGGGACAGCCGGCCAATCGGGCGCCACATCTGCGCCACGTCATCGTACACTGCTAATCGGATCCCTCCGATCTGATCCAGCATGTACATCCGACCGTCCAGCACCGTGGACGGGCCGTGCCAGGCGGAGGGAAGGTTCCCAGAAAGCGAGGACCAGGAGTTGGAGGAGAGGGAGAAGGCGACAGCGTCGGGGCCGGGGGGGGAGTGCACGCAGCGCATGTGACGCAGCAGCAGGCGGTTGGCCACCACTGCTGCATCCTCCAGATCGCACTCAAAGGGCAGTGGGGCAGCACTGGTCCACCTGGGGAGGGGGAGGAAACGGGTGGTGCGAAAGAATACATGGGACAAGAGGGAAAAGAATACAAAAGAGGAGGGTCAAGTGGGGGACAAGAAGGAGGGCGGGATGGAGGACGATACATGGCAATGAATGTGGTACAATAGCAGGTGCCACTACTGTATGACACAGTGCCTACCGTACCCCCCCGACTGCCCCCGCTAAGGCACGCACCTATCCTCCTGCGGGTGGTACACCTCAACGGACGTCAGCAGGGACGTGTTGCTGGCCCCCATGCCGCCCGCCACCACCAGCCGCTCACTCGCCCACGTCCCTGCCGCCTCACACACCTGCACCTCCCTGCTGCTCCCTCCCGCTGCCCCTCTCAACTTTCCCACTCTTGGCTCCCTGCTGCTACCCCCCTCCTTCCCTCCACTGCTCGATTCAACCCCTCCTTTCTCTCCAGCCTTTTCACTTTCCTCCACTCTGCTCCTCTCGTCATCCCTTCCCCCCTCACCCACACTTTCTCCCTCTCTCGCTCCCCCTCCATCCCGTATTCTCTCCCTTTCCCTCTCCCTCTCCCTCCCAATCCCTCTCTCCCTCTCCCTCCCACCCCCCTGTTCCCTTGCTGTCCTCTCCCACCCGCCATCCCCCAGTCTGTCGCCAGCCTCCTTCCCCCCGTGCGCCTCCTTCCCCCCGTGCGCCTCCCCCCTGAGCCACGCTGCACCCTGCTCCCCGCCCTTGTCGTTCCTCTCGAGCCGCACGGCACCGGCCATGCAGTAGCAGCGGGGGAAGGCCATGTCCGCCACTCGCACCCACTTGTTGGCAGGGGGGTTGTACCTGGGGGGATGAAGAGAGGGCGGTGTGAGAGGGGGAATGGGCACACCGATACAGCACGGGGGGAGGGCAGCAAGAAGAGCGTTTTAGGGGCAGCGGGGGAAGGCCTCCGCCACTCGCACCCACTTGTTGGCGGGGGGGTTGTACCTGGGGGGGGGGGAGGAGAGGGAGAAGGGGCAATGCGCATACAGATAAGAGCGTGAGAGAGAGAACTGGGGCGAGGAGGGAGAAGCACGGGCTTCTCATAGCCACAACACATACCAGGATCGGATCGCCGCTCGCACCCACTTGTTGGCAGGCAGGTTGTACCTGGAGGGGGGGGCAGCGAGGGGGACGGGAATGCACACACATGGCGTGTGGGTTTGAGCGGTCCCACCCCGCCAACCAACAACATAGAGGCTCCCTGGCAGGCTCCCCTGCCCTGACTCCCTCCCATTCCCGCCAATAAATGGTACACGTGTGGCCTGCTGGGTTTGAGCCATCCACCCCGCACCACCGATGACACAGAGGCTGCCCTCCCACCATCCCTGCGACACAGGAGCAGGGGGAGGGCACGCTGCCCCGAGGCTGGGCTGTCCCATCCCCCCTCACCTGTACACATGCGACCTGCTGGGTTTGAGCCACCCCGCCCCATCGATCACAAAGAGGTTGCCTTGGCAGGCGGCGCAGGCGCCACTTCCCTTTCCACCATTCTCCCCCTCCCCTCTCCCTCTCACCTGTACACGTGAGGCCTGCTGGGTTTGATTGAGCCACCACGCCCGCCCTGCTGATGACATAGAGGTGCCCTCATGCTATGCGACACAATCCAAACCCTCCGCCTATCCTATCCCACCTGTACACATATGAACGGCTGGGCTTGAGCCGCCCCCCGCCGCCAATCGCAAAGAGGTTGCCCTGGCAGGTGGCGCAGGCGGGTCCCCCTCTCCTCACCAGTCCCCCATCTCCCCCTTACCTGTACACATGTGAACGGCTGGGCTTGAGCCACCCTGCACCGCCGATGACATAGAGGTTGCCCTGGCATGCGGCACAGGCGAGGGCATGCTGCTGAGCGACCCACGAGCTCAGACTCCCGCCCACCCATAACCCATACTGCCTTGGTCTCCCGTCTTGGACGCCACACTCACATGTACACATGTGAACGGCTGGGCTTGAGCCACCCCGCGCCACCAATCACATAGAGGTTGCCCTGGCAGGCGGCGCAGGCGAGGCCGTAGGCGCGCGAGCAGAGGGAGGGCATGCGGGGGACGTCGTGCCACGTGGCAGAGCGCACGTCCAGCGCGTGCCACCACAGACGGTCCGAGCTGTCCCGGGATAGCACATACACCCACCCCTCCTGCACCCCCCTGTGCCGCCTCATCTCGTAGTACAGGGGGGACTGAAGGGGGGAAGCGGGAGGGGGGGAGGGAGGGGGAACGGGAGGGGGAGAAGGCATGGCAGTGCCAGCCTTCCTGCACTCACCTGCGCCTCATGTCGTCGTACAGGGGGGACTGTGGAGGGAGGGAAAGGGGCGGAAAGGGAGATGAAGGAAGGGGAACAAGGGAGGGCGTGGTGATGAGCATTGGGGCACGAGGAAGCAGGCGGCATGGTGATGAGGCATGGTGATGAGGCATGGTGATGAGGCATGGTGATGAGGCATGGGGATGAGGCATGGTGATGAGGCATGGTGATGAGGCATGGTGATGAGGCATGGCGATGAGGCATGGCGATGAGGCATGGTGATGAGGCATGGTGATGAGGCATGGTGATGAGGCATGGCGATGAGGCATGGCGATGAGGCATGGTGATGAGGCATGGTGATGAGGCATGGTGATGAGGCATGGTGATGAGGCATGGTGATGAGGCATGGTGATGAGGCATGGTGATGAGGCATGGTGATGAGGCATGGTGATGAGGCATGGTGATGAGGCATGGTGATGAGGCATGGTGATGAGGCATGGTGATGAGGCATGGTGATGAGGCATGGTGATGAGGCATGGCAGGAATACTCTCCCGGGTGGTGAGTGTGGAGAGCATTGCGTCAAGAACGTGACGGCTGGCAAAACCTGACGGCTGGCTGGCAGCACGTGGACGAGGTCGCATGGATCACCTGAATGAGTTGGTTCCAGCGCCGTGAGACGCGGCGCATGGCGCGGTGCTCCTGGCGCGGCAGGCGCAGCAGGCACTCCGTCGCCAGGTCGTCCGGCAGCCCCGGGATCAGCGGCGCCGCCTCCGCGCCCCCTGCGACTCCCGCCGGCGTCGCGTGCCCCGCGCGCGACGCGTCGCCTGCGTCGCACGGTAACCCCTCGTGCGACCCTGACGATACGGGCGCCGATGCTGGGGGGTTGTGCCGCGCACGGCGAGGAACGGCGGCGGACGGGGAGAGAGCGGGGAGAAGGTAAGAACACCATGGTCGCACCTGTAGCACGCCACGCCATGCGATGCGACAGAGCATGTGTTGCACGGCAATCGCTGCATCGTATAACTGTGTGCTCTCCGTATGAATTCCAGTACAGTGCCATGGTATGGACTTGTACCAACATCTTAGTGAAACAAGCTATTCCCGCCTCACCACTCCCGCCTCACCACTCCCGCCTCACCATGGCTCGCATCTCCTCTCATCCGCGCGCTTCCACTAGATTCGCGCTCTCCTTGAACCTCCAGCCTCTCGTCCTCTGAGCTTGACGTGGCAACGGATGCCGTGTCACTGGATGACGTGGAAACGACACGTGTACTCGACGCATGGTCGAATTGTTCTGCCGCGTCGACCGAGCTAATGGCACCCATGAAGCGAAACTACAGTTTCTAGACAAAGCGCATAACACGCCGTTATAAAGAGAATATATACAGGAATCCCGTTCGAGCGAACCGAGAATCTAACGTTTCAGGAAACGGAAACTTAGGAAAGATTCATGTGTGGCATCAGCAGAAGCAGGTGCGCCGCCTAAATTAGTCGGTCCGGGGCAGTCTATTCATACGACGAGATTAGCAGTCGCTGGAGTTGAGAAATTGGACGAAAACAAGGGCGACGGGTGTGACGATAAGCATGACATTCGGGTAAAGAAATGGTGGCAGCCATGGTCTCAAAGACATGGTGGATGGTGCAAAGATTCGTACGCGCTAAGACGTGACGTCTATTCATCGAGCTGCAGAGCAAGATCCACATGAATGTAAGGAAAAATCCTTTTCCTTCGCATCCTTGCTCAGCGCGTACACCATTGTTCCTGCCAACAGCTCCCAGCAGTGCACCGTTACCACTCGCGACACTCGCCTCGACTACTGTTCCCGCCACTATTCACAACACAACCTAACCTCACGGCTTGGTTCGTAACCCTCGCTCCGGACCTCCGCCTCAACAATTCCCAACCTCGGCGTTAGGCTCGTAGCGTAACCCAATTGTTCGCGTTACCGTTACCATGCTAGCTTCGTTATATAATCTTCGCCCATCCCTACGCTCAATGTATTGTTTTGCTTCGATAGTGCAATTCTCGCTCGCTCGCTCAATTGCACTCGTAACACTTGGTATTCAGAGCTGACGATCTCTTCTCGGAACGCACCTACACCTTCGCTTCCCCACTATGTCATTTTTTGGAGGGGGTAGACGTCTCTCAGCATCCAAGCACCGCTGCTCGTGTGTTCTCTCGTAAGCACACCCAGCGACGACTGAGGCTCTCGCTGAGCTTGCCCGACATCCCCGCTATGGCCAAATTCACTCTCGCAACGTTGACGCAAGAGCGCATCAACGAACTTGTGCACCAACTCGAGGAATCAACTCTCAAAATTGCGACGCTCATGGCGGAACGCGACTCCGCCCATGGGCAATCAACGACGAATGCACCAGCGTCAGCACAAGGATCTGCAAATGCACCTGCAGAATCGGACGAACCAATTGTCATCTCATCCGGCACACCATCACAGCACGTCAGCGTGGGACAGCGCACAGGCGCAATCAATGATGGTGCCGCCCAAACGATGCCAAGCATGGAAAGAACCATGACCGCAACGAACATAAATGTGTCTCGCGAATCTCGTCGCCACGTCGAATTCAATGCGTCTGCCGGCAACGACGACATCGGCGGGCCAATGCCGCTCAAACAGCAACGCCTACCCTGCTTTGATCCTAGCGAACGAGGAGTTCCGACGGTTCAATCGTGGGTATTCACGATGAACATGTTTTTGTATGCCAATTACGTCACGTCGAATGTAGCGAAGATTCGATACACGGTTTCAATGCTGCGGGGCTTCGCCATTGACTGGTGGCGAGTCATTGTCACGTCGCCGCGCGCCTACAAGCTACCGTCGCAAGAGGAAGGGCCTACGGGGCCAGCCGTCACCTGGTCTAGGACGTGTTGTATTGGGCGGTCCGCTCGCCGAGAAAATCGAGATCCTACGTTGTCCAAGACCGGGGTCCTACTACGGACATCACCCTCGAGGACCGATCGAGCACGCCCTCGTCACTGTACACGCCGTTGCGGTGAGCGCAGTTGCTGCGCCATTTAAGGGGCACTGCTTCGCTTGCAACAGGCCAGGCCATTGTAAGAGCGAGTGCCTAGAAGAGCAAAGGCGCTGTGGAGCAGAGCATGGGAGGGAGTCTGGGAGGCAGGGAAACGCCAACAGTCAGTAGAGAACGGGCCCACTACTGACGAGGCTCACTGCTCGCCCGACCCTACCGACCCTCAACGAGTCACAGTACCAATTTACGCTATCGATCGGGCTTGGATGAATAAGGAAGGTACAATGACGGATTGCCCAGTACTGATTCACGAGAAAATAGAGGGGGTAGCAGTGAAAGATCTTCATTGACGGAGGAGCAAGTCACAACTTAGTTAATACCGCCATCGCACGGAAACTGCAACTGACACTTAGTCGCTGCTTACTGGAGATCGATGCACGCTTAGTTGACGGAATGCCGCTGGCCATACGGGAAAAGGTGGAGAGGTTGAAAGTCCGCTGCGGGGGGAACTTCGGGTTTACACAGCAAATGCTCGCGGCGACATTGGATGGGCACGACATTTTACTGGGACATGATTGGCTGCGACGCTACAACTCACGAATTGACTGGACGACATGTAGCTGCACTGTGCGAAGCCGTGGTAACTGGGTCGAACTACCTCACTGGCAGTCGCATGAGCATTCAACGGTCCACGTCAACGCCATCACGATGAAACGGGCAGTCGCCGCTGGAGATGACGTGTACGCAGTGGACATCGTGATGGTGGGAAAAACAGAGGAAGCGAGTGATTTCCAGAAACTGCTAGTAGCCGTACCGCCCGAACTACAGAAGATACTGAAACGGTACCCCGGGATTTTCCCTGATGACTTACCGAACAGACTACCACCTCAGCGAGCAAACGACCACCGCATAGAGCTATAACCGGGGGCACAGCCAACCGTACAGCGACACTTCAGACTGACACAGCCCGAACTCGAAGAACCGAGGAAGCAGTTAGATTACCTGTTAGAGAAGGAGTTTATCCGGCCGAGTTCGTCGTCGTTTTCCGCACCGATACTATTTACACCGAAGAAGGACGGAGGGTTCCACATGTGCATGGACTACCGCGCACTGAACAGGGTAACAGTCAAATCGCGGTACCCCATCCCCCGCGCGGACGAACTGATAGGTCAACTGCGAACAACAAGGGTCTTTTCGGAAATTGACTTACGGGGAGGTTACCATCAGATTAGGGTCGAACTGTCGGACTGCGCCAAGACAACTTTTAAAACTAGGTACGGATCTTTCGAGTACACTGTGATGCTATTCGGGCCGACCAACGCACCGGCGACGTTTCAGATGACCATGAACGAGGCGTTTAGGCGACGTTTAGATAAATGCGTGAGAGTTTACCTCGACGACATCAGCAGCACTTAGCAGACCTGGAAGCAGTGTAAGATTTTAGACGAGAACTGCCTACTGGCCAAGGGCTTTTTCAGGACCAGCTAGAATTCCTAGGGCACGCGATTTCAGAGGCTGGAGTTGAGATTGACCCAAAGAAGTTAGACACGGTAAAAACATGGCGCCCCTCGACCAACATCACGGAACTGCAGAGTTTTTTAGGGTTCGTTAATTACGTCCGTCGGTTCGTCCCCGACATGGCACTCTTAACAACCCCACTGACGGATTTGCTATGGAAGGGAGTGGCGTTAACGCGAGGGGAGAAATATCATGCTGCCTTCTCTGCCCTGAAAACTGTTCTCTGCTCGCCGCCCGTCCTGCGCATTGCCGACCCACACCGCCCATTCGAAGTAGTTATAGACGCAAGTGACATCGCCATCGGAGCCGTACTGCTACAGGATTTCGGCAACGGCCTACAGCCCATCGCATACGAGTCACGAAAGCTGCATCCGCTTGAGAAAAATTTCCCGATACACGACCGCGAAATGCTCGCGATCGTGCACGCGTTCAAAGTGTGGCGCTGTTACTTGACCGGCGCAGACGTGACAGTACGGACAGACCACAAATCACTACAGTACCTCCGCGCACAGCCCCACCTCAACCCACGACAGGTCCGTTGGCTCGACTTCATCGAGTAAAATTTTAACTACACGGTCACCTACAAAAAAGGGGCATCGAACATCGCCGACGCACCGACCCGCCAACAGCTCCCAAAAGTGCACCGTTACCACTCGCGACACTCGCCTCGACTACTGTTTCCGCCACTGTTCATGACGCGACCTAACCGCACGGCTTGGTTGGTAACCTGCGCTCCGGACCTCCGCCTCGACAATTCCCAACCTCGGCGCTAGGCCCGCAGCGCACCGCAATTCTTCGCGTTACCATTACCACGCAGCTTTGCTATATAATATTCGCTCAATGTACTGTTTTGCTTCGATGGTGCTATTCTCGCTCGCTCGCTCAATTGCACTCGTAACAATGAACCATACTTTTCAGCACACTTGATCGCAGCTTAGAAATTCAAATGTTTCATACGAAGGAACATTTTTCATTCATCGGGTTAAGAATGGGCTTGCACCAACAATTTACTTGTTGCATTTTCCTTATTGTAGTAGCAATTATCAAGCCTGATTGTATTGAGTTGGGGCACACACAATCTAGTCAGACCAGCCTTCCTTTTACAGCACCATTCTCGCCTGTTACACGTTTGTCGCCGCGTTTGTCGCCACGACTGCCGAGGATCTGTATCCGTGTCGTCGTCGTGCGAAAGCCCTGCGATCGTAATGCACGCGACTCTTCCTACGTGATTCAAGGTTCCAGTATCCTTTCGCTCAGCTCTCCGTGTTCGCCGCAAATGACTCCAGCCGCGCGGCCACTAGCGCCGTCCTCGTCCGCACCGTGCGCACATCCCTCACATTCTTCCTGGCGCCAGCCTCTTACTAGCTATCAGTCATCGAGGCATGGAATTGGTGTTCAGTCAGCATTCTGTTGTACTCGCTACTGCCAGGCTCGTTCGAAGGGACACTTTCTACAAGGAGACGTCACCCTTGCGCCTTTCTTCCTTCGCGGCTACACAGGGATTGGCTGGAAAACCCCGGGCCTAGCCAATCTCGGTGCTAGTAACTCAAGGCACGCTGCGGCGAATAGTGAAGGCCATTACACCTCAGGCCCCAGTAGAAGAACTTCGATACAATCACACGGTGCCATATACCACCCTGGCAGCCACGATGGCCCTAGCAGGACACCATATTCCCAAGAAGTCTCCAGTTCGAACCCTGTCGTTGTCTCTATATCTATGGACGAAACACCACTATTTTCCCCGTCAGCGCAAAGCCCTGCCACTAGCGAACTTCCTCCACTGGCTCAGCTTGTCACATCCTCTGTTAGGCAGTCCGTATGGGCGGCAGCGTTTGGCGTCTTGCTGCTGGCAGGAGCTCGAGCTGCTGTAGCGCAAACAGGTGACCACGTCAGCATGAGCAGGAGCAGCAAGAATGCTGTCACGTTAGCTGCTTCTACTTTGAACGGAGCTGCTTCTAAAGGGGGCGATAACAGCGGCGACCTTCTGAGGAGTGCAGCAGCTGGTGCAAGAAAGAATGTGGTTGGCAGCGGGGGAGAAAAAGCAGTAGGAGTGGCGAGGAGAGGGGAGGAGGGAGAGAAGGGGGAGGTGAGTGGGGGCAGGTTGGGGGAGAGGAGGGGAGAGGGGAAGAGGAGGAGAGCGAAGGAGCGGAGGAGGAGGCGGAGATGGGCAGAGCGTACAGCCGGTGGGTGGAGAAGCCGGCAAGCCTGAGCGTGCCTCTCCGGGTGGTGGCGCTCAGAGGCACCGTGGCCAGCATGTGGCGCAAGGTGAGCAAGATTGAAGTGTGGCTGTGCTCCTCGCTCGTCCCTGGTCCCTCCCCTTCCGTCTCTGCCCGTTACTCTTGCTCCATGCCGTGCTTCATCCCTGGCTGGTCCCGTTCGTGCAACTCCCGTTCCTCCAGGCTCCACCGTGTGGCAGAGAAACAGTTTGAAGCATCTCTATGATTCTGCCTTGTTGTCTCCCCTCTTCCTTTTCTTCCCATCCTGCTCGCTCCTCTCTTCCTCCCGGGTCCCATTCATGCAACTCCTTTCTCCACCCCTCCCCTGACACCCCGTTCCATGCACACCCATGCACACCACGCCATGCACCCGTACCCGTGTGTTCCCACCCCATCAGGACTTCCTGCAGTCGCAGTCGCCCCTGGCGAAGCTCACAGTGGACGCGCGCCCCTCCCACGCCGCCATCGCCTCCGACCTCCTTGACCCGCTCCCCACCACTGCCACACCCAATGCTCCCTCGCCCTCCTCCGCCCCCTCGTCTGCGCCCTCCACGGGGCAGAAGAAGGCCCGCGGGAAGAAGGGCGGCACACAGCCCTCCCTGCGCTCCGCTGCAGCTGCTGACGTTGTCACTGTTGGGGACAGGTGAGGAGAAGGCCTATCGATGGGACAGGTGAGGAGGCTTGTAGGGGGGACATGTGAGGGGGCTTTTAGAGGGGACAGGCGAGGAAGTTCTTACAAGGGACAGATGGCGAAGCGAAGGGAAGGGACAGCTGTGCGTTCTTGAAAAGACCTGCTTTCCTCGTCACTGCACGCGTCCCCCATGCACGAACCCTCTCCGTTCCTGTTTCTAATTGCTTACCCCTTGGGCCTCTCACCAAGAACTCACTCCCCTGCTTCCCACCTCCCTCCCCCCTCCCCTCTTCAGGTGGCTCAAGGAGCTCATAGCGCGTGGAGCCCTGCTGCCTCTGGATGGCGTGGAGCGATCTGATTGGTTCAAAGCCCTGGGACCCACGTGGCTGGTGAGTGTGTGCTGTACTGTGGGGGGCCAAACTGGCTGTCCACCAAAGCCTGCGTTGCAGCTTGAGAGCATCAGCATCACAAAGCACCACAAAGCATCACAAAGCATCACAAAGCATCACAAAGCATCACAAAGCATCACAAAGCATCACAAAGCACCACAAAGCATCACAAAGCACCACAAAGCATCACAAAGCACCACAAAGCATCACAAAGCACCACAAAGCACCACAAAGCATCACAAAGCATCACAAAGCATCACAAAGCATCACAAAGCACCACAAAGCATCACAAAGCACCACAAAGCATCACAAAGCATCACAAAGCATCACAAAGCATCACAAAGCATCACAAAGCACCACAAAGCATCACAAAGCATCACAAAGCACCACAAAGCATCACAAAGCATCACAAAGCACCACAAAGCACCACAAAGCATCACAAAGCACCACAAAGCATCACAAAGCACCACAAAGCACCACAAAGCACCACAAAGCATCACAAAGCACCACAAAGCACCACAAAGCACCACAAAGCACCACAAGGCACCACAAAGCATCACAAAGCATCACAAAGCATCACAAAGCACCACAAAGCACCACAAAGCATCACAAAGCATCACAAAGCACCACAAAGCATCACAAAGCACCACAAAGCATCACAAAGCATCACAAAGCATCACAAAGCATCACAAAGCACCACAAAGCATCACAAAGCATCACAAAGCACCACAAAGCACCACAAAGCACCACAAAGCACCACAAAGCACCACAAAGCACCACAAAGCACCACAAAGCACCACAATCCACCACCGACCGCATCACCATCCACATGCGCATGGGACGCGTTGGTAATAGCAGCACCAACGCTCCTTCATCACCACCCTCTCTGCCACCATCCCACCCTCTCTGCCGCTCATCCTTGCTTTCTGTGCCGCCCACCCATGCTCTCTGCTTGCGTGGCTGCATGCAGAGGCTGCTCGACCGCACCCCCTCCGGCCACTTAACTCCCTCTGTGCCCTCTTCCTCATCTCCTCCCACCCTCTCCTCTTCCTCATCTCCTCCCACCCTCTCCTCTTCCTCATCCTCTCTCCTCCCACCCTCTCCTCTTCCTCATCTCCTCCCACCCTCTCCTCTTCCTCATCTCCTCCCACCCTCTCCTCTTCCTCATCTCCTCCCACCCTCTCCTCTTCCTCATCTCCTCCCACCCTCTCCTCTTCCTCATCTCCTCCCACCCTCTCCTCTTCCTCATCTCCTCCCACCCTCTCCTCTTCCTCATCTCCTCCCACCCTCTCCTCTTCCTCATCTCCTCCCACCCTCTCCTCTTCCTCATCTCCTCCCACCCTCTCCTCTTCCTCATCTCCTCCCACCCTCTCCTCTTCCTCATCTCCTCCCACCCTCTCCTCTTCCTCATCTCCTCCCCCACCCTCTCCTCTTCCTCATCTCCTCCCACCCTCTCCTCTTCCTCATCTCCTCCCACCCTCTCCTCTTCCTCATCTCCTCCCACCCTCTCCTCTTCCTCATCTCCTCCCACCCTCTCCTCTTCCTCATCTCCTCCCACCCTCTCCTCTTCCTCATCTCCTCCCACCCTCTCCTCTTCCTCATCTCCTCCCACCCTCTCCTCTTCCTCATCTCCTCCCACCCTCTCCTCTTCCTCATCTCCTCCCACCCTCTCCTCTTCCTCATCTCCTCCCACCCTCTCCTCTTCCTCATCTCCTCCCACCCTCTCCTCTTCCTCATCTCCTCCCACCCTCTCCTCTTCCTCATCTCCTCCCACCCTCTCCTCTTCCTCATCTCCTCCCACCCTCTCCTCTTCCTCATCTCCTTCCACCCTCTCCTCTTCCTCATCTCCTCCCACCCTCTCCTTTTCCTCATCTCCTCCCACCCTCTCCTCTTCCTCATCTCCTCCCACCCTCTCCTCTTCCTCATCTCCTCCCACCCTCTCCTCTTCTCCATCCGTCCCCTCCCCTCCCCTCCCCTCCCCTCCCCTCCCCTCCCCTCCCCTCCCCTCCCCTCCCCTCCCCTCCCCTCCCCTCCCCTCCCCTCCCCTCCCCTCCCCTCCCCTCCCCTCCCCTCCCCTCCCCTCCCCTCCCCTCCCCTCCCCTCCCCTCCCCTCCCCTCCCCTCCCCTCCCCTCCCCTCCCCTCCCCTCCCCTCCCCTCCCCTCCCCTCCCCTCCCCTCCCCTCCCCTCCCCTCTCCTCTCCTCTCTTCTGCTACAACCACCCTCTGTGGACCCCTCCCAATGTGTTTTCCTGCAAACCACCTCCCTCCAATTCCTTTAAACCCCTTCCCTCCCACCACCGCCCATCCCGTCTCCATCCCTTCTTCATCCCCTCTCCATCCCCTCCATCCCCTCTCCATTCCCAATCAGACGTGGTGCGACCTCTGGCAGCCGGCGCTGCGCGGACAGGTGGCAGTCATTGATTCGCCGAGAGAGCTGCTGGCTGTGACGATGAAGTAAGTCCAAGGGAGGCAGTGGGGATGGACAGCCGTGGGGGGACCAAGGGGTAGTGGAGTGTGGGTTTGTGCTAAAGACTTGTGAGGTGCCTCAACAGTGGGAATGGAGGGTCATGGAGGGGGGAAGAGGTAGTGGTGACGGCTTGCTATTTGCGCTGCTGATGCTCTTGCCACTTGCAGCCATGCGATTTTTGAGGCGCCTCAGAAATAGTCATGGAGAAGGGAAGAGATAGTGGACGCATGCTGTTGGCGCTGCTGACGCTCTTGCCACTCACAGCCATGCGTTCTGCCTCCTCCTCTCACCCTCCTCTCTCCCTCCTCACCCCCTCCTCACCCCCTCCTCACCCCCTCCTCACCCCCTCCTCTCCCCCTCCTCAACCCCCCTCTCCCCTCCTCTCCCCTCCTCTCCCCCTCCTCCCCCTCCTCTCCCCCTCCTCACCCCCTCCTCTCCCCCTCCTCACCCCCTCCTCTCCCCCTCCTCTCCCCATCCTCACCCCCTCCTCTCCCCCTCCGCCCTGCACAAGTCGCCAGCAGACTCGCACGTTTGTTTGACGCATCAACAATCGCTTCCCCCCTGCCCTCCTCCTCCTCCCCCCACCTCCCCACCAGGTCGCTAGGAGCGCCCTTTAATGCCCGCAGCCCGCTGGACTCGCATGTGCCGGGAGGCATGCCCGCTCTCAAGGCCAGGTGGCAAGCCCTCCTGCACCAGGTGCGCTGACGTGGCATGCTGACATGGCATGCTGACATGGCATGCTGACTGGTGCTCCTGGCTCGCAGGACTTATCACCAGGATCTGAAATGTAGAGTTCCACGAGTTTTGAGGCGTCTCAAAACTGAGATGTAGAATTCCACGTGTAACACCCTGTCTGAATGTGCTTCTGACTTGTTCCTGCTGTGCCTTTCCTTAACGCATAACCCATTGGTACTGGTTACCCTTAACGCATTACCCATTGGTATCGGTTACCCTTAACGCATTACCCATTGGTACTGGTTACCCTTAACGCATTACGCATTGGTATCGGTTACCCTTAACGCATTACCCATTGGTACTGGTTACCCTTAACGCATAACCCATTGGTACTGGTTACCCTTAACGCATTACCCATTGGTATCGGTTACCCTTAACGCATTACCCATTGGTACTGGTTACCCTTAACGCATTACCCATTGGTATCGGTTACCCTTAACGCATTACCCATTGGTACTGGTTACCCTTAACGCATAACCCATTGGTACTGGTTACCCTTAACGCATTACCCATTGGTATCGGTTACCCTTAACGCATTACCCATTGGTACTGGTTACCCTTAACGCATTACCCATTGGTATCGGTTACCCTTAACGCATTACCCATTGGTACTGGTTACCCTTAACGCATTACCCATTGGTACTGGTTACCCTTAACGCATTACCCATTGGTGCTGGTTACCCTTAACGCATTACCCATTGGTACTGGTTACCCTTAACGCATTACCCATTGGTACTGGTTACCCTTAACGCATTACCCATTGGTACTGGTTACCCTTAACGCATTACCCATTGGTATTGGTTACCCTTAACGCATTACCCATTGGTACTGGTTACCCTTAACGCATCACCCATTGGTACTGGTTACCCTTAACGCATTACCCATTGGTACTGGTTACCCTTAACGCATTACCCATTGGTACTGGTTACCGTTAACGCATTATCCATTGGTACTGGTTACCCTTAACGCATTACCCATTGGTACTGGTTACCCTTAACGCATTACCCATTGGTACTGGTTACCCTTAACGCATTACCCATTGGTACTGGTTACCCTTAACGCATTACCCATTGGTACTGGTTACCCTTAACGCATTACCCATTGGTACTGGTTACCCTTAACGCATTACCCATTGGTACTGGTTACCCTTAACGCATTACCCATTGGTACTGGTTACCCTTAACGCATTACCCATTGGTACTGGTTACCCTTAACGCATTACCCATTGGTACTGGTTACCCTTAACGCATTACCCATTGGTACTGATTACCCCTTAACGCATCACCCATTGGTACTGGTTACCCTTAACGCATCACCCATTGGTACTGGTTACCCTTAACGCATCACCCATTGGTACTGGTTACCCTTAGCGCATTACCCATTGGTACTGGTTACCCTTAACGCATTACCCATTGGTACCGGGTTACCCTTCACGCATTACCCATTGGTACCGGGTTACCCTTAACGCATTACCCATTGGTACCGGGTTACCCTTAATGCATTACCCATTGGTACTGGTTACCCTTAACGCATTACCCATTGGTACTGGTTACCCTTAACGCATTACCCATTGGTACTGGTTACCCTTAACGCATTACCCATTGGTACTGGTTACCCTTAACGCATTACCCATTGGTACTGGTTACCCTTAACGCATTACCCATTGGTACTGGTTACCCTTAACGCATTACCCATTGGTACTGGTTACCCTTAACGCATTACCCATTGGTACTGGTTACCCTTAACGCATTACCCATTGGTACTGGTTACCCTTAACGCATTACCCATTGGTACTGGTTACCCTTAACGCATTACCCATTGGTACTGGTTACCCTTAACGCATTACCCATTGGTACTGGTTACCCTTAACGCATTACCCATTGGTACTGGTTACCCTTAACGCATTACCCATTGGTACTGGTTACCCTTAACGCATTACCCATTGGTACCGGGTTACCCGGCGATGGTTACACGTTCTGCCGCACGCTGCCCTCCCACCGCCCCTCAGGTCCACGTGTGTGACGGGATCAACTACCTCACGATGCTTCACCACCTCGTTTCCCCCTCAGCTGTCATCGTGTCCTTTCCCACTCCTCCCCTCAAGGCCCGGCAGGCATCTCCTTTTCCTCTCAGCTCCTGTTGCATCCTTCCCTTCCCTTCCCCTCTCCTCCCCTTCCCCTCTCCTCCCCTTCTCCTCTCCTGTTCCCACCTCCTCTCAGGTGCGTGTGTGTGACAGCAGCAACTACCTCAAGGCCTTTCAGGCATCGGATGTTCTAGTGGTGGTCAGCTGGTCCTCTGTTTCCTCTCAGCGCTCTTAGTTTCCGCCCTTCCCCTTTCCCACCTTCACCTCTCAGGTGCGTGTGTGTGACAGCAGCAACTACCTAATGGCCTTTCAGGCATCGGACGTGCTAGTGGTGGTGGGGTGGTCCTCAGACCTGCTCCCCTTCGCCCGTCGCAACAACAACATCACCGTCGCCGCCCCTGCTGACGGCACCCTCCTCTTTGCCGACCTCTGGGTGAGTGCCATGTGTCGCTCTCCTGCTGCCTTGCCTTTGTTCCCAGTCTGCACCCCTTGTTTCTTTTGAGGCGCCTGTCAAGTTGTTTCTTGTATCTATGGTAGTCAGTCACCTCCTACCAGACTAGCTTTTGAGTGATCCATTGCAGGCAGCTGTTGCAGATACCTGTGTACACAACAGGTGTGTCCTATGCAGTCACATTTCTATTTCCATCCATCTGAATTCTCCTTCCCTCTATCCACCCCGCTCTTCCCCATTTCAGGCCGTGCCCGCTACAGCTCGCTACAACATTCCCAAGGCTGCCTGGCGCAACCGAGGGCCCTCCCCTCTCATCGGGCAGTGGATGAAATTTTGCCTACAGCCCGCCCGGGCAGTGCCCTTGGAGCGGGAAATCTTTTCCGCCTTCTCCCCCACAGTCCTGCCCGACTGCCTCCCTCCGCCACCAATACAGCCAGCTGACGACTCAAGCATCAATGCCGCTTGCACTGGTGATAGCAGCACCAAGGACACCAGCAACAGCAACAGGAGTGGCACCACCGCCACCACCACCACCACCGCCACCAGCAGCAGCAGAGCGCAAGGGTTGCCAGCAGCAGCCATCCTGGCAGCGAGTGAGTTCGTGGAGCCACTGGATGGTGCCACAGTGGCAGAGCTCAACGCGGTGCTGCTAGGGGACAAGGGGGGAGTGGCTGCACAAGGGCAGACGATGCAGGACCGGGTGAAGCAGGCGATTGAGGCTGTTGGTCTGGCGTTGTCAAAGGTGTGGAGAAGAGAGTGAGTGACCGTGGCAAGTGGTTTAGCGCAGTGTGTTGCGAGACCGCAAGTGGACTACCATAATCTGCTTCACTTGTTCCCTTTTAAGATCCTTAAGGGGACAGAAAGGAAACTCATCATATATAAAGCTGAATGGATACAAAATGAATGAACGAACCACATACATGCCCCAGCACAATCAATGGGGCAACAAAACTGCCTGCCGAGCAGCGAAGCTATGAGCAGCCAACTGGGCACGTTGGCTTGGAACCTAGACAGACAGAGCCAAGACGGCCAGGGAAAGGCATAGCCCAGCCCACCCACCCACCCCCATCCAGGGTAGGGTGTTCACTACTTGCCCACAGGAACCAGCAAGGGGCTCCTGCATCCAAGGCAGGAATGGCGCATGCATCTTTGGGGGGACCCAGAGAGAACATGAGCAACAATCCTGAGATGGGCGAGCACCGCTGAGCAAGCGCAAGGCAAGCCCCAGCACTACAGGCCAGCTGGCAGCACTACAGGTGAGCTGGCAGCACTAGAGGCGAGCTGGCAGCACTACAGGCGAGCTGGCAGCACTACAGGCGAGCTGGCAGCACTAGAGGCGAGCTGGCAGCACTAGAGGCGAGCTGGCAGCACTGAGCACTGTATTGGCAGCAAGCCACCAGAGCATGTTGGACTTGCTGTTGCCATCATCAAACAATGTCAGCGCTTCAATGTTCTCCCTGGCCGCAGCCAAATCATACGTTGCCTGCACCACCCATGCAAACCCATGCCACTCGTCCGTACTGCCATCCCCAACCAGCACAGGCAGCACTAAGGAGTATTGGCAGCGAGCCACCAGAGCATATTCGTCTTGCTATTCCCATCATCAAACGCTGTCAGCGCTTCAATGTTCTCCCTCGCCGCCGCCGGGTCATATGTGGCCAGCAGCGCCCATGCAAACCCACGCCACTCATCCGTGGTGCCATCCTCACCCAGCACAGGCAGCACCCACTGCACCACCTGGCGGTTGAAAGCGGCGTCTGGGAAGAGGCGAGCGAGGAAGGGCGTGACGGGGAGCACCTGGATGCCCACGCGCTTGTCCGTCTGCTCTGCTGCTGCGAACCACAGCCCCGCGTCTCGCTTTGCCGCCCACACCATGCCCAGGAGGCGGTTTGGGGCGGCAAAGATTGGGTCGTAGTTTGGGGAGGTGGACGTGGCTGCTGCTGCCAGGGCTGCTGTGGAGAGACGCGAGGAGGAGGAAAGGGAGGGTGATGAAAGTAATTCTCTTGGTTCTGCTACTGCTGCTGATGCAGCTGTTGCTGCAGGTACAGGTGTCGTTGCTGCTGGTACTGGCATTGTTGCTGCTGGTACAGGTGTTGTTGCTGCTGGTACTGGCGTTGTTGCTGCTGGTACTGGCGTTGTTGCTGCTGGTACTGGCGTTGTTGCTGCTGGTGCTAGCATTTCTGCTGCCGCTGGTGCTGGCGTTTCTGCTGCCGCTGGTGCTGGCGTTTCTGCTGCTGCTGGTGCTGGCGTTTCTGGTGCTGCTGGTGCTGGCGTTTCTGGTGCTGCTGGTGCTGGCGTTTCTGCTGCTGCTGGTGCTGGCGTTTCTGGTGCTGCTGGTGCTGGCGTTTCTGCTGCTGCTGGTACTGGCGCCAATGCTGGTGCTGCTGACGGCGCTGCAGAGGGGTTAGGCACACCCCCACTACCATCACCACCACCACCACCACTGCCAGCACCGCCACCACCGCCATCAGCACTCTCAGGCACCTGGATGAGCGTCTGTGCAGCAACGGCCTCCACAGCAGCCAGTGTGGCGCCCAGATTCGCCAGGTGCAGATCCCCAAACGCATGCCCCAGCAGCGCCACCGCATAGTACCCATTCACCGCCTCACTGAAACTCTCTTGATTCCTCCCGTCGCCAAACTCAAACAGCCCGCTCGCCCACGAGTGCAGAGCGTATAAATCAAAGTGCCGCAACCTTGGGAACGCCGCAGTGGCACGCGGGGACATGATATCAGACACAAGGTTGAGCACAGAGTGTCGGTGGGTCATGGCCCATGCCGGGTCCGCTTTGGCTACTACAGCAGCGGCATACAGCCAGTAGCCGAAGTGGAAATGATGGTCGTTGTAGCACCCCATGCCGAAATCCGCCCCCGAGTCTGCCGCCCCGCTGGAGCTTACAATACCACCCCACGCCGGGTCGTACAGGAGAGAGTTTCCTGCGAACGACCCGTTGAACCAAGCAGTTAGGGCGTCTCGCACCACTGCTACCGCCGTCCCTGCTGCTGCTGTTTCTCCTAGCTGCTCTGCGATCAGAGCCAGCCGGGCGGCGCGGGCGGCAGTTTTCCCAAAAAGTAGGTGGAGGTGGTGGTGATAGGGGTGAGGGCGGCGACGTCTGTCTGTAGTGCGACGCGGAGGGAGAGGCGGAGGGAGGGGTCGGAGGAGAGGCGGGGCGAGTGCCAGGAGGCGTGCAGAGGAGACTTCCCACCTGCTGCCTGCTACCCCCACTGCTGGGCCGTCTAGTGTGGGGTAGACCAGCACGTGGGGGTTGGGTGTTGTTGCTGTTGCTGATGGGGGCTGGAGCAGTGTTGGGGCGGTTTGATCTGCGGATGGTGTGATGGCTTCTGCTGTTAATGATGAGAATGATGATGAGTCTGCTGCTCCTCCGGATGAGGCGGCGAGGAATGAGGAGGCGGAGAGGGAGGCGGCGGTGAGGGGGAGGGTGGGAGTGCAGGGGGGAGGAACAGAGGCGGGGGCGGGGGAAGAGGCGGGGGCAGAGGCAGGGGCAGAGGCGGGGGCAGAAGAAGGGGCAGAGGCAGGGGCGGAAGAAGGGGCAGAGGCAGGGGCAGAAGAAGGGGGGGAGGTGACGGGGGGAGGCGTGGGGGTGACGGGCGGGAAGTTGACACCAGGGGGAGGTGTGGAGGTGGGGGAGTAGGCCTTGAGGTGCATGCGGCGATGAACTGACAAGGAGGTGGAGGGGGGAGACAGAGGGAGTGGGCACACATGGAAGGGAAAAAGCGGGAGGGTAAGTAAGGGGTTAGGAGGAATGAGGTCGATAAGGATAACTATGTGTGCAACCTACTTCCACCCCACCCACTGTCACCGCACTGGCGGATGATACCACACACAGCACCGGCAGCAGCAGCAGCAGTGTTACAGCCCCATGGCGCAACCTTCCATGCATACTTCACGTGCCATGACTGCACCTTCACACCGACCCAGCGACCCAACCCAACGACCCACATTCCCCATTTCAACCATAGGACAGGACTCACTTGGCAGGGCGAGCATGAGCGGCACAGCAGCAGCACAGCAGCGGCACAGCAGCGGCACAGCAGCAGCACAGCAGCGGCACAGCAGCAGCACAGCAGCGGCACAGCAGCGGCACAGCAGCAGCACAGCAGCGGCACAGCAGCAGCACAGCAGCGGCACAGCAGCAGCACAGCAGCGGCACAGCAGCAGCACAGCAGCGGCACAGCAGCAGCACAGCAGCGGCACAGCAGTCCCATTCGTGGCAGCAGTCTCACTGCCCCACGGCGCCACCTTCCACGTGTACTTCACCCGCCACGGCTGCACTTTCACATCGCCGCCCACTACCACCCACATTCCCCATTCCCCCCCAGCCGTTGCCACATTCCCTATTCCACCCATATTCCCCCATTCTCCGCCCATTCACCCCCCATCCCCCCCGGGCACTCACTGGGAAGGGCGAGCATGAGCGGCACAGCAGAACCATCAGCGGCAGCAGCAGCACTCTCACTGCCCCACGGCGCCACCCTCCAAGCGTACTTAACCCGCCATGGCTGCACCTTCACATCGCCGCCCACCACCACGGCGCCGGCATATGCGTCCAGTACCGCCTCCTCCTCCGCCGGGGAGTTTCCAGGAAGCATCGCGGCGCGCAGTGTGCCGGTGAAGGGTGACGAGGCGGTGAGCGTGCTGTTGTGGAGCGAGAAGGTGAGCGGCGCGGACGCGTACAGCACCCATGTCTGCAAGGGGGAGTGCCGTGGGGGTTGGAGGGGTGCAGCAGAGAAGTTAAAGGGAGGAACAGGAAGGATGAGTCATTCCAGGCTGAAAAAAGAAACATAAAACAAAACAAAACAGAGAACACAAAAGAGAGGCAAGGCGAACTGGCACGGAAGAAGCAGCGGGCAGGCAAGGATACACTGCGTGCCAGGCGTAACCAGCACAGCTGTCACTGTACCTGGGCGTTGTTGAAGGTGAGTCGGTGCTTGGTGCCATCCGCGGTGGACTGCACATCCATGATGGCACCGTCCGTGGCGATCACTGGCGTGGCCCCCGGCGATGCGAACAGGAACGTGAGGTACGGACTGCCGCGCACCAGCGGCACCGTCAGCACAGGCGCGGCGGATGGGGTGGAAGAAGGGGAGGAGGAGGAGGGGGAGGAAGAGGAGGCGGAGGAGGGGGAGTAGGCGAGGGTGACGGAGGTGTCGTCGTAGGAGGCGACCTGGTGGGTGGAGAGGCCCTCGAGCGTGGAGAGCATGAGCGTCGCCATGAACGCCTGGTGGGGTGGCGTGGGGATGGGCACGCACGCACGCACAGGGACATCGCGAAAATGGCAAGTGCCGAAAGTCACAAAAAAGTGCTCGAAATGTGACTTTTATGTGACAGCAAGTCCGGCGTTTTTTAGTCATGGTTGAAAGTACCGGCCACGATGTTCCCTGCGTTGTCACGGAAATGTCACGTAAATGTGACATAATGTCACACAGAATGTCACAGTAGAGTGTCTGGTGAAGCGACTTTCTCGTCACTTTTATGTAACCTTGCCACGTGTCACGTATGCCAAGATATTTTGCCACGTGTCATTGTCGTTGATTGGTGGATATGAACCAATCAAACCTCGGGGACGTGGGTGCAGAAATGTTTTATGATTGGGTGGCGATTATTATCGAGCGACGCAGCATCGCCCATTTCCGTACGCGGAAATTTCAGAATACAGCAGCTGGCATTTCGAATGGGCTCCTTTAGTCACATCACATGCGCAACATACAAGTTACTACACAGATGTACGAACTAAGGCTGCGTTCTGCGGCCGCATCAGAGCCTGATGCGCCCTAGGCTCGGCAAATTGACAAATTGAAAAATTGAGGCTCGGTAATGTCCAAATTGAAATTGGAAAATGGAGGTTCGGAAAATGCATACGCAGGTTCGGAAAATCGGAAATTGGGGATTTCGAATTTCGGGCATGTCAAATTTCGATCCCAAAATTCCGACGAATTCCAGGGTATTGAACTTTCATCGAAGTGGGGAAGCACGCACCTGGCGCCTTCCCCACACGCATGATGCGCTGTTCAATTGCCCCAATTCGAGCTGATGCGCGCATCATGCGTGTTCGCGGCGTTGCATCATGCGCGCATCAAGGATGCGTCAGATTGCTAGGCAATAAAATTTCGCGGAAAGCGGTAACATGAAAATTTGTGGTTGCCAATAAGACCGTTCTGCAGGCATTTTTCCCTGCTTTGCCTCGGCAGCCAAGCGCTTATCGCGAGCCTTGATAACCTTTCGGCTGGTTATCAAGGAAGGCTCCCGGAACATCGAAAAATAAGTGCAATGTACATTGATGCGGGCTGATGCGCCCGCAGAACGCAGCCTAAAGCTACCGAAAGATGTGCGAACTAAAGCCACTGCGCAGATGTACGAACTGAAGCCACTGCGCAGATGTACGAACTGAAGCCACTGCGCAGATGTACGAACTAAAGCCACTGCGCAGATGTACGATTGGCGAGCAACTGCGCAAATGTACGAACGTGTAGCCCGGAACACCGTGGCGTGGCTACGAAAACATCTTGCCAGTATGGTCGTTCGGAACTGTCAAACCTGCAAAAAAGAAGAAAGCTAATACAGAACAAAATGGAACGTGATGAATCTGCACACAAAAACATCACCAGTTATGTGAGTGATGAAACCCGCAAGACAATCATAGCAATAGATCGTGAGTCTCAGGAAACATGGGGCGGAGCGTTCGAGGGGCTAGTGCAACGGTACCTATGTTTTAACACCAAAAATAGCAGGGATGACGTCACGACAGATCCACATGCACACACACAAGCCAACGTCATGATGCTCTGTCGGTCGCAAAATCGCACAGTCAGCATCAAAGCTTGCCTGAATGACAAAAGCGAAGTACGGAACGGTCGAACTGGAATATGCGCCACTGCACTTTTGTCGCTGTTTTTCGAACATGCTGCACAAAGTAGCATGACATGCTCCTTGGTGGTGCTGGCTGCAGTCGCACTGCACCTTGCGTTCTGCCACAAAGAGATAAACAAAAGCAATATGAAGAAGAGAGAGAATCGAGACCATAGGAAACAAAGGGCTACGCAGTCGCGTAGGCCATCTGCCACGCGTTAAAGAGAAGGTGTTTGAGCCAGGCAACACACTGGGCACTGACCAGTACAGTTGACCCCACCGGTTGCCTGGGTGGCGGTTTAACATCGTTATGCTTGCGGCGTTGAAGCGCTGTGATCTGCCACGCGGGGCACCAGAGGGGAGTGGCATGTTGGCAAGTGGGGGGGCGGATGGGGAGAGTAGAGAGAGAATGAGGTATGCGGTTCCAAGTAGCTTCTCTAATGAAAAAAAACACGTGGTGGGGGTTGAACAACGATAGGTATAAACACACCGCCTATGGAGAGGTAAGCTGTAGTGTGTAAGCCTAGAGCATGAAGGTAGAGCACAGTTGGCTGAGTGTGCTAGATGGGTGTGACAAATAGGAGGCCACACAAACAAGGTTTGAACAAACTGTGAGATGCAGGGAGCATTTGTATGGGAAAGTGAAGGTTGATGGGGGTTTGGGTGATCCACGGTCCGGTTCGGTGTGAATAGTGGGAGGATAAGGGAAGGTGAAAGTTTTGTTTAGGTGCACTCCAACGATTGGCTCAAATGATTCTTGAGGCTCGGCTTAGACGGTTCAGGAAGGTTGGGAAAGATGGGGGTTTAAAAGGTGTGACGTGGAACGTTCGCGAAACCTTGATGCGACGCACATTTCCCTAGAGTAGCCTTGATTGGTTTGCACACGCCACTGTCGAGTCTGACGTGTAGCATCGAAGCGCAAAAATCTTCGTTTTGTTTTTTACGACCGTCACGAAGTAGTTTCACCGTCTGTTATTTGTTTCGCTAGTGTTCGGGTTGCTTCGCATGCCTCGTGATCACTGCATTCAAGTTGGTTTGTTTTTCTCATTCAGCAATACACAGGTAAACCGCCTTCAAACGCTTTCAACCACTGTCGTAATTCTCGTGCGAAACCAGGCCATCTACTTCCTAGCCAATTCCGTGGACGCATTTGCGACTAACAGCTTCTAGTCACTGGGAAGTTACAACAGCGTGACTTTTTTGTCACGTTTGCGGTGTACGTTAATGTGACATTTCCGTCACCATCCCGGCTGGGACTTTTTGTATGACGTCGTGACTTTCTGGGAGCTTTTTGGTGGAAAAACCTACGGGGCCCTGAAATTTGGATGAGCCTTTTTCGCGATGATCGCCTCACCTGGATGATGAAGCCCGGCTGCGCGTCTCTCGGCGGCGCTCCCCACGCGATGCGCCCCTCGCTGCTCTTGACAGCGTAGGGCGGCACGACCTCGGGACTGCCGCCGTCGCCCAGCACGAAGTTCTGCCACGGCGCGTTCGTCGGGTACGGCGCCTGCACGGCGCGGCGCGGCGGGGATGGGCGCAGCGGAAACACAGAGAGCGTGCATGAATGATCACGTCCTGCCCCAATTGTTGTACTATTCTCGCCGTAATTCAGTGTCGTGGAAAAAAAAGCGTGCATGGACGGTCGCGTAAGCAAGGAGGGCTTTTGCGTCGACGTGTTAACCCAGACATGACATTACGGTAACGCTACGATCACTCCCAGACATGACATTATGGGGGCATTTGGAGCCAGGACGGGAAAAATGGCAGTTACTACTTCGGTAGGAAGTGTGACAATGCGTTGCGAAATGCGAGGGAATAACGACGGGAGGGCTTACAGAGAGGTTGGCGCTCCAAAGGGACGATGGCAGCGGAGCGACAGTCGAGATGAGCGATGGGAATGCGAGCGCCATAGCGGAAACTACTATCAGAGAAGCTCGAATTTGTCAAGTCGAGGACGCACGGAGGTCGTGATTGGTAAGACTAAGCGCTCTTAGTCGGCGGTTGCTGAGCGAACTTCCAAGTTGCTAAGCGTTCGAGTGCTTGCTAGATTGCGCGCAATGCATGGTATTTCGGAGCGTGAATGAAGTCGCATGTAGACTCGACGCCCATCCGACTATTTCAAGCAACTACTGGATCGAAGGCGATCGTGCTTTACACAGATCACCTCATTCACTGCGGGTTTGACAAGCATCTCCATGGAACTAATTTATATAATAGCCGAAGCGCGAAGTTATGTTCGAGGCGAGGCAAAATCGAGGGCAGCTGCACTTGAGCCAGGAGCGAAGGTGGGGGGGTGGTTTCGACAAATTGATGCTGAAGGGGAAAGCGGGTGGTTGGCAATTTGGTTTCCCGCTTCTCCACAGGGACAGGGGCGTGGTCTGTGGAATGTCGGTGGCGTGCAGCCCTGTGTGATCGTGGGAGAAAAGTACGACCTCGAACGACACCAAACCCTAATCGACTGTTGCGATTTCGTAAGACAAACGCGATCGAGGGCGTTCCTTGAGTTTGTATAACTCCTCCAATCCAGCACCGAAAGTCGCCCAGCGTATGATTGGTTGAGGGAGGCACTTATGCAAGCTGACAGCGTGTGCGGCTTGTTGGGGAAGAAGCTGCATGGAAAAACCTCCCTTCTACCTCACAACAAGGCGAATTCCCTCCTACAAGCTGCTCCAAACTCCTCGGAAAAAAGGGAACTGAAAATGCAGATATACAAGGTTGCTTAATAAATAAACAGAAAAACATTCAAGACTTCTATTGTTACCATTGTATTTTGTACTGTACTCACCAAAAACACGTGGAATGACAGTGGTTCAGTGAATGTTTAAGAATCAAATTATATCTAGTGTCATCCAAATTCGGTCGTCGTTCTTGTTGATGTTGTTGCTGCTACTGCTGTTGTTGCTGTTATTGTTGCGGATACTGTTGTTGTTGTTGTTATTGTTGCGGAGGGTCACTCTGCACCGGGAGCTGGACTACGGGGGAAGGCACGAGTTCTAGGAGTGATCGTAGCGTTCCTTGGTGTTTGCTCGTATTCTCTCTACTCACACATTCATGGGAAGAATTAGCAAAAGGTTCACTAGCAACGTTTGTCAAACATATATGCTGCATATTGTCTAGGCTGTAGTGGGGTAGCCCATATGGGGTACAACCCAATTAGGGTTTCCTACTTGTACTCCTGCATGCTCTTAGTTCATCATTCCTGCTGCTAGATTTTGACATGGTTTCAGAGCACTAAGGTCCGTAGGACCGTTTTTTTCGGGCCCACCTACCGCTGCGGTTACCGCGCTACCCCACGTACCTGCCTGCCTTGCCTTGCCTTGTGCTGCACTACGCGAGCCGTCCAGCAGCCCTAGCGCTGCCTCCTGCTGCCCTAGGCCAGCGCGCTGCCCCTAGAGGCCCGTAAGGCCCGCGTGCCGCCCCTACATGCCCTTCAGGTCCACGCAGCCCGCACCGAGCCGCGCGCAGCCCGCACCGAGCCCGCGCAGCCCGCACCGAGCCGCGCGCAGCCCGCTGCAGCCGCGCGCAGCCCGCACCGAGCCGCGCGCAGCCCGCTGCAGCCGCGCGCAGCCCGCACCGAGCCGCGCGCAGCCCGCTGCTGCCGCGCGCTGCCCGCACCGAGCCGCGCGCAGCCCGCTGCTGCCGCGCGCAGCCCGCGCCGAGCCCACGCAGCCCGCGTCGAGCCGCGCGCGGCCTGCTCCTGCCTCGCGAGGCCCGCGCGCGGCCCGCAGCAGCCCGCGCCGAGCCGCGCGCGGCCTGCTACTGCCTCGCGCGGCCCGCGCGCGGCCCGCAGCAGCCCGCGCGCGGCCTGCAGCAGCCCAGCGCGCTGTCAGCGCAGCCCGCGCCGAGCCGCGCGCGTCCCTCTGCCTCGGCCCCGACCTGCCGCTGATGCGGCCCCGCCCTGCAGCTGCCACGGCCCCGACCTGCCGCTGACGCGGCCCCACCCTGCAACTGCCGCTGAAGCGGCCCCGCCCTGCAGCTGCTTCGGCCCTACTCTGCACCCGGTGTTGCGGCCCCGACGTCGCCGCTGTCGTGCGCCTACTCGGCCGCCGCCCGTCGAGCGCCGGCCCTGCTCGCCCGGCGAGCGCCTGCTCTTCCAGCCTTTGGTGAGCGCCTGCCTGCCTGCCTGCCGGCCTGCCTGTCTGCCTGCCTGCCTGCCGGCCTGCCTGCCTGCCTGCCTGCCTGCCTGCCTGCCGGCCTGCCTGTCTGTCTGCCTGCCTGCCTGCCTGCCTGCCTGCCGGCCTGCCTGCCTGCCTGCTTGCCTGCCGGCCTGCCTGCCTTTCTGCATGCCTGCCTGCCTGCCGGCCTGCCTGTCTGTCTGCCTGCCGGCCTGCCTGCCTGTCGGCCTGCCGCGCCTGCCCTGCCCGCGCTACTGCTGCTGCTACTGCTACTGGCAGGTGGCCAGATGCAGCTCCAGCGACGTTCACGTGAGTCTCTCACGCCCCAGCAGCTTAGTGAGTGGTATACTAGCTGGGGTTGTCGCGGTAGCCGTCGTAGCTGTCCCCCTGGAGCTGGTCAGTTGGGAGCGTCTGGCAGTGGCCAGCTGCAGCTGCAGCGGCGTCCACGCGAGACACTTACGTCCCGGCAGCTCCACGAGTGGTACGCTCAGTGTAGCAGGTCTACGCGTACAGTTCGCTGCCAGTACGTCATTCGCACAGGTGATCGGGTTGGTCAGCCTTGCGGGACGCTTGGTCACACACAGTCCCGCTGCTTCGCCCGTCTGAGCGACGACTGGCGTACAGTGTTTGGCGACGAGGCTGAGCTCCCCGACTGGCTGGAGCTGCTTGGACAGAGGGTAGATATCTTTGCTCCTGACTATGATGCTATTCTCACTGCCATGTATGCATTGCCTACTAGTGTTGACCGTGCCTGTTACCTGTGCGTCCCGCCTGACCCTGGTATAGCACCTGCTGCTCCCGGTACTGGTGAGGCTGCTGCTCTAGGTGCTCGTGCGTCTCCTCCTCTGGGTGCTGGTGAGGCTGCTGCTCTAGGTGCCGGTTCGTCTCCTCCTCCAGGTGCTGGTGAGTCTGCTCTCTCTGGTTCTGCGCCTGCTGCGGCCTTGTACACCTTCACGCTTGACTCAGGTGCTTCCCGCTCCTTCTTTCGCGACTGCACCACACTCACGCCGCTTAGTCGGCCGGTTCCAGTCTCCCTGGCGGACCCCTCCGGGGGTCCAGTCCTTGCCCACTACTCCACGGTTCTGCCGTGTCCGGCCGCCCCGTCTGGCTTGCTGTCAGGTCTTTACCTCCCCTCGTTCTCTACGAACTTGGTGAGTGGAGCTGACCTCCAGGATAGGGGGGTGCACCAGTTCACTCCTGCGAGTCAGCGAGTGACTCACTGTACGTGTGCTCGGACCGGCCGACACCTGGCCACGTTTTCCCGTGCGCCTGGCTCGAGTCTGTACACCCTGACCACTGAGTCCCCTCAGGTAGCTGCGTCTGCGTCTGCGTCAGGTCAGCCGACGGCCCCCTGCGAGTGTCGCGCTTTGTCGCACCAGACCCTCCTGTGGCACCACCGCCTTGGTCACCCCTCGGTGCAGCGCCTTCGTGGCATGCACTCTCGCTTCCTGGTTTCTGGTCTGCCCAGGTCTTTGCCTGCCCTGCCTCCCTCGCTTGCGCCGCCCTGCATTCCTTGCGTCGAGGGGCGGCAGCGCGCCGCTCCTCACTCCTCCTCGTTCCCTCCCACAGAGGCTCCCCTGCAGACTCTCCACCTGGACGTGTGGGGCCCAGCCCGCGTCCGTGGACAGGGCCACGAGCGGTACTTCCTGCTGGTTGTTGACGACTACACGCGTTACACCACGGTCTTTCCCCTGCGCAGCAAGGGGGAGGTCCCTGCTGTTTTGATCCCTTGGATCCGCGCTGCCCGTCTCCAGCTCCGCGAGCGGTTCGGGACGGAGTTTCCCATCCTGCGTCTGCACTCTGACAGAGGTGGTGAGTTCTCCTCCGACCTCTTGGCAGCCTTCTGTGCGGAGCACGGCATCACCCAGTCGTTCACGCTTCCGGCCTCTCCGCAGCAGAATGGGGTTGCTGAGCGCCGCATTGGCTTAGTCATGGAGGTCGCTCGTACCTCCATGATCCATGCGGCTGCCCCCCATTTTCTGTGGCCGTTTGCGGTCCGGTACGCCGCGCATCAGCTCAACCTCTGGCCCCGTGTCTCCTTGCCGGAGACCTCGCCCACGCTGCTGTGGACGGGGAAGGTTGGCGATGCGTCGCGTTTCCGGGTCTGGGGTGCTCGTGCCTTTGTCCGCGATACCACCGCGGACAAGCTCTCCGCCCGTGCTGTTCCCTGTGTCTTCCTTGGCTTTGTCCCTGACGCGCCTGGTTGGCAGTTTTACCACCCCACCTCGCGCCGTGTCTTTGCGTCTCAGGACGTCACGTTCGATGAGTCGGTTCCCTTTTACCGTCTCTTCCCCTACCGCACTGCCCCTCTCCCTCCCCCGCCGCTCTTCCTCGCTCCAGGTGCTCCCCAGGTAGACCCCCTCCCCGCTCCCGGTCCTGCTCCTTCAGGTGTGTCTCAGGTAGACCCTCCTCCCTTCCCTGCGCCGGTCGAGGTCACTGGTGACTCAGGTCCTACTGGGGGTGGTCCTGCTCGGGGTGCTGCTTCTGGGGGTGCTGAGCCTGGGGGTGCGGAGCTTGAGAGTGTGGAGCCTGGAGGTGCTGAGCCTGCGTGTGAGGGGTCTAAAGGTGCTGGAGCTGGTGGTTCTGGGGCTGCTGAGGGTGCGGGCGCTGGAGGTTCTGGAGCTGCTGGAGGTCCTGGTGCTGGTGGCGCTGGAGCTGGTGGTTCTGGGGCTGCTGAGGGTGCGAGCGCTGGAGGTTCTGGAGCTGCTGGAGGTCCTGGTGCTGGTGGCGCTGGAGCTGCTGAGGGTGCTGGCGCTGAGGGTTCGGAGTCTGCTGCTGCTGGAGGTACTTCTGCT